CAGTGGAGAATTTCAAAAAGTCATTTGCACAGAACTGTAGTAAAAACCCATGTGCTGGTAATGGGGAAGACTGTTTAGATAAAACCAACTGAACTTTGGACTAATTCAAAAGACAAAAGAAACAGTATTTGTAAACATGCAAATGACGAGGTACCAAAATCTCTGCTCTTCCAGCTGTTACCAATATTTGAGAGAGATTTGGGGGGGAGAGATATTTTGGAACATTATGATGGCACATTTTCATACTGAGTTTGCAAATTGGATAAGATTACATTTCCATACAGGTGAATTAGCTTACCTCTGTGTGGCCTGTGGGGAAAATGGTGCATGGCTAAAAAAAACCTGAGACTAAAATACATATTGAGATCCTGGAAATGAAGTTGTTGAACCACTAGAGACAACTGTTTGGGTAACTAAACAATTGCGCAGAGTATTTGCTTTAGGTGCCTAGGAAATCAAGGTGCAGTGCAAAGGGTATGTAGAATCATGCGGCAGGTTCAATAAATAATACTGCCAGCAAATAAACACCAGAGGACAAGACCTTCAGGACTCAAAGACACTTCAAATTCAAAATCCATGTACCATGCCCGTGTTCTTTCTTCAGTGAGTAAAGCAGCTGGTGGGAAAAAGCTGAAAATAAGATGTAGTCCAGCCCCTTAACCCAGTCTGTGCCCTAAAAAGGGCATACAGGGGAGTGTCTTATGCCTTTTTGAAGACCCTCCCACTTTATTTTTGTCTGAGTCCTTGCCAGTATTTGTCCCTCTCCAGTTTTCCACAAATACTTCCGCAAATGGCAACACACAAATGGTTATGGGGGGAAAAATTGGGAAAATGTTTTGAACTTTGGGGATGTTGGACTGGCCATGGAGTCTGCCAAAATGTCTCTGAGGGCTATCTGTGGCCTGTGGGATGCATTTTGTTCACACCTCAGCTGAAGAGTTGGCTTCAGCTGAGGTTCAGGGAATTGTTTTGTTTCCCGGGATCTCTAGACAGGCAGACAAATCTAAAGTCAAGTAGCCAAAGTCTCAGGGAATTTGTATTCGCGAAGGCTTTCATGGCCAGGATCTAATGGTTGTTTTTAGAGGATTCTAAGCAGAACTGCATACATACTCTTGAATGTTTCAAACAGCGCTAGCAAAACTGGATCTGAGCCATTAATACTACATTTTGTTTCAGCTTTTTTTCAGTGAAAATCTGGAAACAGATATGATCTTAATATATTCACGAAGGCTTTTACGGCCGGGATCTAATGGCTGTTGTGGGTTTTTCGGGCTCTTTGGCTGTGTTCTGAAGGTTGTTCTTCCTAACATTTCGCCAGTCTCTGTGGCCGGCATCTTCAGAGGACAGCACTCTGTGCTCTGGTGCAGTTTGTTTGGGAGTTGACTATTTATCGCTGTGAGATCAGCTTTTGTCCTTTTCAGGAGATGGGTGATTATGGTGATCACTGTGTTTTTGTTGTGGGTGTATTGTTGTGATAAGGAGTAGAGATTATCTGTCACTGTGATATATGGGTGTCATTATCTGGTCTTTTGTGTGTAGTGATCACCCGTCCTTGTGGCTGGGTAGAGTTTGTTGACCTTTTGCACGTTGTATTTTTGTTGAGTTTCAAACTTTCTTCTTTTTTGTTGAAGTTCTGCTGGTGTTTGTGGATTTCAATGGCTTCCCTGTGCAGTCTAACGTAATGATTGCTGGTGTTGTCCAGTATTTCAGTATTTTAAAATAGAATTTCATGTCCAGCTTGTTTTAGGGCATGTTCAGCTACTGTCGAGTTTTCTGGTTGTTTTAGTCTGCAGTGTCTCTCATGTTATTTCATTCTGGTGTGGATGCTTCGTTTTGTGGTTCCAATATATACCTGGCCAATCTCAGGGGATTGCTGTGCTTTTTTAGGTCATTTGGATTGGGAGTGCGGCAACAAATGTCAAGGTGAGCGCCAATGAAGAAGAAGAATGTTTGGTTCTTGTGTGTCAAATGGCTTTAAGAGCCTGGTTGCCTATTTCCAACTAGTACAAAGGGCAACTGGCTCAGCTCAAAGAGTACAAACCCTGATCCCAGGGAATAGGATGCTGATGATCTGGCAACCTTGTTAAACAGGAAAGCTCCAGAAACATTCAGCAGTAGCAGAGGGAAATAACTGAATATGTACAGAGCCCCTGTGGGAGAAATCTGAAAGCTGAGCTGCAGACTATGGGTTATCCCTTTATGTTTTTTCATGATATCCCTATGCTCACCTTGTGAATTCAATAGTAGTGCCTCCTAGTTATTTATGAAAGGCTCAGAACTTCAGGAGTGTAAAAGGAAGCAAAGTTTATCAGATGCTACTGCACTGCAATTCAAGATAGGTGAGGTTTCATTTCCCCCTTATCGAGATTAAGTACTGTATTTTTCAGTAGTAAATATCAAAGTTTGTAACAATATTTAATTACTTTACATTTGGGGGATGGAAAGGATACTGATGCTGCCTGCAACAAGAAAATAAACAATGCATTCCAAATATCCTTTCAGCGATGGAAAACATTGATGTGGACAATTACATTGATGGGAAAATAATCAATGGAATAGTTAACCAAAAACAGTCAACTAAATAAAACTCATCATCCCAAAAAGAAGATGGATTTCATGGCACATGATTTTCTTCACTTTTTTCCCTGTGTTTCTATATGTTGTTATAAAATTAATAAATATTTTTAAAAGAAAAAGAAAACACAATATCGGTAAATTTTTCATTTTTTGGTGTACCTTAGTGTTTAATCCAAATACGGATGTTTCAATTTCTCTGCCCTAATAAATTCTGTTGAATAATATAGGTACAAATGATTTTACCTCACTTGCCCAGCACTCATCAGTGATGCCCCTTGCTGTTTTGACAGTAAGTGAAACATGTTATCTAAAACAAATATTTGTTTTAGAATATTCTGTTCTCGTCAGAATATTTGAAAAAATTCCTAGTATGTCACAATCTACCCTGCTGTTTTTCAATCTCTTTACATACTACAGGTTTTTTAAAAAGGCATTTATATTCCCACCCAATTGGCCACCATGAACTCCTTGGCCTGAATCCAGATGTCCATAGTCCCAACTAGGGCGGACCCATTGAATCAACTTGAATGATGAGTTAACACTGAACATTGATTCAGTGGGTCTATGCTAGTTGAGAGTACAATTTGGGGTCATGATCATGCTGTGATGACCTTCCCAGAGTTACAGTTCAGTAACCCCACATGGCTCTGACCTGAGGAACAATAAAGAAATCAAGCTTATCTGGAGCAAGAGTTTCTAAAAACGGACTCATGCATGAGCCTTGTGACAGCTATAAAATATATATTTAAGATTAATTTACAATGAAGGCATCACTCAAAAACATGTAGCTTGCTTCTAATTCAGTCTTCCCCCAGGGCCTGCCATCCATGGATTTCCTCTTTTTCTTCCTTCCTGGAGCTGAATCAGGGATGTGAGAAAGTACCTCAGGGAAATAATATAGGGAGGGTTCTGCTCTTCTCAGCTGTGCATATGATTGGATAAAATCATAAGTCCCCATATGCCCCTCCATTATCTCTGAATGAATGGAAGAATATGAATGGACATGTGTTTAAACAAAGATGACTGTTCCTTTCTGACTGCTATTTAGCTTCAGTTGTGCTACATAGAGTAAAGATAGGGCATGACTAGATGGGGGAAGTTGGAATGATCGGGGTTGTGCTCATAAGGCTCTAATCCTTTGTACGATTGATTTTATCTTGCACTTGAGCAATGCTTATATTCACATGGGAGATTTTTTTTTCCTGTGAGAAGGATCAAAGCAGCACTTCAGATTGTTCTAATTTCATCCCCTTTTGATTATTCATATCCCCTTTTGTTATGGCTATCATTCTGCAGACTGTAGTATCTTCCCCACCTCTTTTTGTTTAATTTAGTAGTACTACAACAATACATCAACCAAGCATTTTATGTATGTATGTATGTATGTATGTATGTATGTATGTATGTACGTACGTACGTACGTACGTACGTACGTACATATGTATAATGTATATACTGTATATATATACAGTATATATAGTATACGTACGTACGTACGTACGTACGTACGTACGTACGTACGTATACTAACGTACGTGTATATACTGTGCATACTGTGTATACTGTGTATATACTGTATATACTGTATATATATACTGTATACACACACACATATATATACATATATGCACACACATACATGCACACACACACACACACACACATAGATTAGTTCTTAGTTTTCATTCACATGCTTTCCTAGAGGCATGTCTGCTTTCCAGAATTGCAAGACAGCAGCAGGGTAATAGAAACCCTGCCTGGATGCACTTCATGTATTTTCTTCCCAACAACCCAGCAATACATGAGATACAATAAGGATATACATGGGTACTCCCTTATGGCTGATATATCTCTGCATCACTTAGGAGAATATTAGGAGAAAAAATTGTGAGAAGATGAACATATAGGAGGGGGTTTCTCTGCTGTCCCTTCTACTTTCATACCCCAAGGTTGTCATACAAGAGAATGCTGCCCACAGCTCTATTTGGGGGTGAATTTAGCAGTCAAATGGACTGCTGAATGGGGTAATCACAAGCACTCCCAATCACACCAAAAAGGAATGGGACAGCTTGCAACAAGGGCAGGATGGATTGCTCTGGCACTCCCAATCACACCAAAAAGGAATGGGGTTGCCAGAAAATAGGGTGAACCAAAACAACACCAAAATCTAACCAAATAGTGAGATATATATCCCATCTGGTCACTCTCATATACATATTTACTCAAAAATAAGTATCTCTCTGTTCTGTAAAGCTTACTTTCAGGTACATCCGGTATTTAGGTATGCTGCATACTATTGCAACTTAAAATATTCTACTGTACAATGTTTTTACAGTATAGTACTCCAAGGATTATTATGCATTCAACTATTGTTCAAAGACAAAATGAATTTTTAAATTGATTAATTTAGACCACAGATGACCTATAGTTATGGAATTATGACATTTATTTCCGAAATGCAAGTTAAGCAATGCACATATATATTCATTTTTAATACATGAAGCAGATTCTTATGGGTTTCCTCTTGGCCACCAGAGGATGAATACTGCACAAGACAAGCCTCTGCTCTGATCCAGTCTGATTCCCTTCCATATTTCAGTTCTCTGATTAAAACTGAAACCTGTGGTGTTTGACAACTGACATCCTCTGAAGAATAGGTCACAATAGGCCACAGAAGTAATTTCATAGGTAGTGTGTTATTGCCATGAATATAAAATGTAGATTATCCAGCATCACATTATGAAAAATCAATTTCAGGATGAGAAATGATATATTCTTTAAATCAAAATATACTGGGAACAATATAGTCTGTATGCACACCATCAAGGAGGCCTTCCCCGTTGTTGTGAATAAACCAGCAAGGGACATTGACACCATGCCGGATGTCTTCTATATACTCTTTCTGCCATCCCCTAAAACAGAAAACACAAAACAATGAACTCAAAGCAGAGCACCCACTTCATGCAGGAAAATGGACATTCACTGAAAACGCTGATTCTTTTTACCTGGTCACTGTCAGGTATTTATTTTTTACAACCATGGTGGCATCTGGTTTCTGTGGATCTGAACCGTTGTGAACTTCAAGTATGTCGAAGTCAATTGGGTTGAAAAATTGTCCTTAAAATACAAATAACAATCAGAACAGTAATTGCCAAACAGCTTCTGTTAACTGACACTCTCTTACATGTTTAGTTTCATTATGTATTCTCGTTTCATTATGCCCTAAGTTTCATTATGCCTTGACAGTTTATATTCAAGCGACAGAAAAAAGACTCGTTGTCACTACTTACCTACAGACAAAGGTCAGGAGTATCTACAAGAAGAACACAAAATTCCTGTCCTTGGTTTTCTTTCTTTTTCAACTCTAATCTTTTAATAACTTTCAACTGCAACCAGTGACGGCTCACAATGGTTTCCTCCCATTCCAGTCTGTGAGCTACCGACACATGAAGCACTAGAACTATCTCACTGACATCCTAACCCTATCCTAACATTATGTTGTGCAGACTATAATGGGCTGCTGTTCTTTAAATCAGCGGTCCCCAACTGTTTTGGGACTATGGACCAGTTGGGGTGTGTGGGTTCCGTGCATGGGCGGGTGGGGGCACCCCCCGTGCTTGCAGGTGGGAATGTCACGCTTGTGGGTGGGTGTGTCACACTCGTGGGGAGGGCAACAGACCCCTCCGCTAGCACAACACTCCCACCGTGCATTTGTGCAGGGGGGCAGAGAGCCACCTCCACAGCCCATTTCCAGTAAGCCCACAGACCAGCACTAGGCCACGGACCGGGAGTTGAGGACCCCTGCTTTAAGATGTCTCCGCTTTATTGCTGGGGTGATAAACCTGTGACTTGGGAGCTTCCAGCTTACTTTTATGATACGGGCCTCACTACTATCCAACCCTCTAGGCTAGTGTTTCCCAACTTGGGGAGTTGTGACCCTCCAAGGCGGTCGCAAAATGCTTTCTGGGGGTTCAGGGGTGCCTTAATATGTGTTATACCCTTTGTCAAATAATTTCTTCCTTGACCTTTTGGAGTGGGATATTTAAGTACTGTATGTATGTATGAGAAATAGGCTGGGCTGGGGTGAGAAAGAATCCTCTGCTTTCTGAGAAGGGATGGCCGAGACTACAGTATTTGTTTTAACAGCAACAAAAGAAATGCCAGCTGCTGCTTCCACAAGAAAGAGACTTCAACTATGCTGTGTCACTTCAGGAGAGCCTCAAGAAGGGGAGGAATGCATAAAACAAATCCCCAGGAGGGGGACACAAAAACAAATGTCTGCTTCTTTTGCAGTGGGTGCAAGGAAAGCTTTATGCTGTTTTATGGGGGGGAGAGAATCCTCCCTGTGTGAAGGTTTTACCTCCTCCCTGAGTAACATGGTGTCCTTCTGCCCCCTGGTTCCTTGCTGAAGTGCTTTGCCTTCTCTTCTCCCTACCTTTAACCTCCCCCATGCTCTTCCCTTCCCAGGTTTGAAGAGTAAGCAGCAGGAGCAATAGGAAAGCGAGCAACAGCAGCAGCAATGGTGGTGCTGCCCAGTTGGAGAACTATAGCAACAGCCTATTAATGCAAACATGGCAGGGAGGGTGGTTGCAGGTTATAAAAGGGGGCAGTTATAAAAGGGGGTTGGAACTCAAGCAAAGTTTGGGAAATAGTGCTCTAGACGCTGTAGGCTCATTTGTGCTTTCTGCATTTATCCTATGAGATGGCTTTCTCTTCCACATACGTGAGTGTACAAATGTCTGAGAGGCAGACAGATACAGAAGGACTGCAGAAAAAGGAAGTTTTACAACCCTGTAATGGAATAAATCCCAGCCACTTCTGGCTCTGCCTATCATTGGTTGGCGCTCGTTGACAACTTTTCCTGTGGCCGACAATCCTTGGCCAGTTGTGGTAGATCAACGCCACTCATTAACCAGATGCTAGTACCATTCCTGGGCCTATGCAAAATCAAATTCTCCACATGCAAATGTAAACTGACAATAGCATTCTGGTCTGTCTTCGAGATGTTGCTAACTTGGAAGAGACACGTAGTCAGAACGACCAAAACAATCTTTGTATCAGATACTTGATAGATTTTGATAGTATAGTATTTTTTGTAAATTGTTACCCAACAAGCCGTGGGTTTGGTTAGACAGTCTGTGACTATCCAATGTGTAAAATCCTAGGAAATCTTGGTGTACGGGATGTTTCTTCCACGCATGCAAAACAACAACAAATCTTGCACCGTCATCCATTGAAATCTCCAGGCTCTTTTTTGGTTTGATTATCAGAGTCAGACTAGATGGGAAAGAAAGAAAGAAAGAGAAAAAGAGAAATGCACTATTTACTGACAGACTCAAGTTGAAGAAATTGGGAAAACAGTTTGGAAAGTGTTTTAAAAGGATGCCAGTGTGCTGTAGTGGACAGAGTAGTGGACTAGGACTCAGGAGACCTGAGTTCGATTCCTTAGCTGTGGCATGGAAATTCACGGGGGGGGGGGGGTTGGATGGAACTGCTCTTTAAATACCCCACTTACCTTGATAACTCTATTAGGTTGTCTATAAGTCAGTTCTGACCTGGCAGCACATAACAATAACATGCTGTAAATAAATCCTTAGAGTCAAGTCCGGTTTCAATTCCTATCAAGTTCATTCATTCTTACAATGTTGCTGATGACTCATTAAGCAAGTTAGAGAAAGAACTCTCCTCTCATCTTGTCCAGGGATTTGTGTTCTTTTAACAAATGTGTGAAAATGGACTGATCAAGGCTATGTGTGCTAGTTGGTATATAATATTATTGAAAAAATAATATATAGTGGCCAAAATCCTGCTAGTAACAGCTGCAACTATAATGCAAACAGTGTGACGTTGGCAGTGAATTGCTGCAAGTTGAGAAGTCAACGCAGTTCCAAAGCATGTAAGTGTGACGTTGGCAGTGAATTGCTGCAAGTTAAGAAGTCAACGCAGTTCACAAGCATGTAAGAATGCGAGTAGATAAATAGGTACCACCTTGGTGGGAAGGTATTGGCGTTCTGTGTCTAGTTGCGCTGGCCACGTGACCACGGAGGATTGTCTGCGGACAAAACACTAGCTCTATGGCTTGGAAAGAGGGATGAGCACCAAACCCAGAGTCGGACACGACTAGACTAAATGTCAAGGGAAATCTTTACCAAAGGAATCAACATAGACTTAGTGCTGACTCTGTAACTTGCATCAGTTTGCTGCCACAAATTGTGTCTTTTGCATTATGATGGCATAAAAGGACAGCGGGACTTTAGACCACAGTATCAGCAGTTTGTTGAACTTTATAGATAACAGTTGTTGTTACATGCTGTCAAGTTGCATCTGGCTTATGGCAACCTCCAAGAGTCACCTCCAAAATGTTCTGTGCTCAACAACTCTGTTCAACTCTTGCAAACCCAAGGCTGTGACTTCCTTTATAAAGTCAATCCACCTCATATTTGCTCTTCTTTTCCTGCTGCTTTCTGTTTCCTAGCATCATTGTCTTTTCCAATGAGTTTGTATTCTCATGAGATGCTCAAAGTATATTTAAAAAATAGCCTTTGAACTGCAGAGCTGGAAGGGACCCTATGGATCATCGAGTCCAGCCACCCTCAAGAAGGCAAAGGGAGGAATCGATTAATGGACTCATTATCATCATTTTTTTCAGAGAAAATTTAGGCTTAACTTGGTCTAGGACCCACTTTCTTAATTTTTCTTGTGGTCCAGGGGTGTTTGCAAAAATTACAGATAACATGGAATGGTATTTCTCATTTTATACATTCATGTATACATTGGATTTCCGAAATTTCCAATAAAATTGAATAGCATTCTTCATCCAAAATAGATTGCAGTTCTCTTGGATGTTTTACTCTATATTTCATCAGATGCTAACACATTTTTACAACGTAAAGAGTTTACCTTGGTTGCCGTAAGGTAATTTTATCCATCCAGTTGAATACAATCTGTTTTACACCCTGCTGAAGGATGATTTCTTGAGTGGTTATTTTAATTCTTAAATCCCGGTGTATATTTATAATCGCAAGTTTTCCAAAGTATGTATTGTGTTGTATTGCATCATTGTCGCTTTTCTTATCACCAATAAGCTGCCCATTGATTACAATGCCTAAAGGCAAATGAAGGTAAGTGATAGCATAATTATTGCAAGTGCTTTTTTCTTCTTCTAAAAACCCTGTCCCCAACATATCAAATGACAATTCTATTAGGACACAGAAGTCATGGGGTCAAATTATATTTCCTGGTATACTGTTATTTGTTCTCACTCTGTCTGTGCTCACCAGAGCACAGACAGAGTTCTGACTCCTGTCCTCTGAAGATGCCGGCCTCAGAGACTGGCGAAACGTTAGGAAGAACAACCTTCAGAACATGGCTTAAGAGCCCGAAAAGCCTACAAGAACCATCGGATCCTGGCCGTGAAAGCCTTCAAGAATACAATGTACAATTGTTGGGAATTTCAAAATACTTTAAAAATAACCTGGGGATTTGTGAATGTATTTTATTTCATGAGCCATTAATAGTTTTGATATTGAATGAACCATATTTTATGAAAAACAACATAGAATACAAGAAAAATGATAGAGATAGAAAAATATTAGAAGTAACGTCCTTTGTTAAATTTTTTTTTTTAGTTTGATACCGCAAATATTTCTGTGGTTCCTTTAAGACTAATGGATTTTATTTGATATAAGCATTCATGGACTATAGCTCATGTCTTCAGATGCATAGAGCTACCTCACCTTTGTTTTACTTCAGCCTCATAGTAGAAAACTCAGTGAAAATATCAACTCAGAGCATGGACACCAAAACCCCCACAAATTACAATCATTACAAATGATGAGAAGAAGGGTTGAAATCAAGAGAAGGTATCCAAAATCCCATTACAGGGTCTATTATTCACATAAATTATTGTTTTTTAATTTGGGTGCCCTATGATCGAAAGAGAAGCATGTATATTTTTAAACTGACATGAATGAGATATGTGTTTATTTCGATCCAGCAAGATATTTCTTATATAGTACCTCTCGGGTACAGCTTGAGACTTGCAGTCACAGTTTCTTGAACACTTATCTCAGAGGGACAGTCTATGTTGATACAACTGCCTCCTCATCTTCAAACTATCACTTTTGTTTGTTGAAAGTGACAGTGGAGATTTAGGGAAAAGTACTGTATACGGGTTTTTCATTGCATTGCTCTCCACATTCCTTTAGAACAACCAAATAGGGCTTATTTCTACTTAAAATCAACAGTCCCACATTAAAAGGGAAACACTCACCTGCAATTGGGTCTCTTATTAAATTTAGCACAGTTCCTGGGGCTTCATTAATATTGAAACAAAGGGCATCTTCTTTATTAGGCACTGCTATAATGAAGTGTGGATCCCCATCAACTGCAAGGAAGGATTCAGAGAAATAAAATGCTTGCATTTCTTGATATCTAGATGAATATGGAACTAGTAAGCCTGGGTACAGAAAGCTGTGCCTATGGGACAACAGAACCTGCTTGCTGAAGATTCTGGTTCATGGTTTTGGCTTTATTTCAGGCCCTGAGGAGCTTGTTCAGGATAACAGTGGTGTGATACTACTGGTTTTAGTTGTAATCCAGCATTGCTGATTTGAAAACTGCAAATATTTAATGTATGAGGAACAGCAACAGGAGGGGATGATCCCATTGGTTCCATATTCCTATTGCCTAATTTCCTCAAGGCACTTCCCTATAATCCTATTGTAATTCACAAAACATGAGGGAGGGTCTTCTCTGTTGCTGCTCCCACACACTGGAACTCCCTCCCATAGGAGGCCCGGCTGGCTCCATCTTTGCTGTCCTTCTGAAAGCAGCCGAAGACCTTTCTCTTCAAGCAGGCCTTCCCTAAGTGACTGCTCTGCCTTAGTAGGGTTTTTAAATTAATGGTTGTACCTCACTGCTTTGAATGCATTTTGGTATTCCTTATGTTTTTAGTATAGCATATGTCTGATCTTTTTTTAGTTTTTGCATACTCACTATTAGCTTTAAACACTGTCTTTTAATAATGTAAGCCACCTTGGGTCCTTTTTAAGAAGAAAAGCAGGATTAAAATATTTTAAATAAACAAAATTAATTGATTTCTGAGGGCCAGCCTGAACTAAACCTGGATCACAGTTACTTTCTTGCTCTCTTATCTGTCCACATCTAAGTAATACAATATATAAAGCACGTGTCTTTTTTTGTAAAGCAAATAATGTCTTTGGGGGCCAAAGAACATCTTTGTAGGTGATTTCTGAATGGGAAAAATGTTATGAGGGGATGCTTAAAGCCATCTTCTCCCCATGGTCTTCACAGCTGCTTTTTCTGAACATGTGAATAATTAACTATAAGATTTCATATTTTTTTAAAAAAGTATGCTTAATGTAAGATGATCTTCAGAGATGTGGAAACCACACATAGCCATCCCAGACTTCATAAGGACCCACCCCCTCCTGAGACTCTCACCTGCCCACCCTCCAGTTTTCCCCCTACAAAACTGTATTAGTTTGGTTTCTACAGAAAAGCTCCCTTGTCTTCTCTAGTGGCAAAAAAAAAATAAATCCTAAACTTCTGAAGGTAGGTACCCTTAAAGCTTCACTGGTGTTTATCAGAGATAGTGAAGATCTTTCTAGCTGTTGAAATTAATCCCAGCCTTAGGAAGAAAGCTAAGGGACTTTCAGTCTTCTGTGTAAATTTCAAAAAGAAACTCACCACTAGAATAATAATAAGGAGTTGACGGAGCAGCATAAGTAGTAGGGAATGATTGCCGTCTTGCTATTTGGGAAAAAAGAAAATGTGGTTACAGTACTTCCTTTCTCCACTGATTCCACATATTTGCCATTATCACTGTGTCAAATACTTGTCCTATTATGATTGCCATACATCTTATTCCTCTTATATGTAAATATAATATTCATGGGTACATTGTGATAATACAGCAGTTGGCAGCTGCAAAGGTATGAGAACCAAGAGTTAAATGAACCTCCAAATTCCCTCAAGAAAGCTGCACAATGCCCCCAACCTCAAAACAAAACGAACCGAGGAAGTCATGGCGGCGATTCAGTTTTACTGTATTCTTCCTATGGTCTATTGGCTGCCATCTTGGAGGCCACAGGATGGGCTCTTGGTCTCAGCAGTCAAACTGAGGATGTTGACTATGAAAGGCAAAAGCCAGTTTTGGATCTCTCCCTTCTGCTCTCACAGAAAGGTCTGCAGTTTTCTCCTCTCCTGAGGGTTTAGCTCCAATATCATGGAGATGAAATGCAAAAGAACAGTGGGCAAAGCATGAGCAGGCTGGCAGAGGCCCTAAGGTCAGAGCTCTCCTATGAGGCTAACATGTGAAATATGCAGAACAGCCCTGGCGCTAGTCTACAGGAGTCCTTTCCACTACGAGAAATTAGAGGGAAGTAAACAAAGTAAACAAAACAATAACAACAAAAACTGTAAAAGCTAAACCAGAGGAAAAGCAGTGCATGCCACTCTTCCCTGTCTTCTACCCAGCAGGCACAAGCCCAAGACAGCTTGGGGGGGGGGTGCCAGGCACTCTAGTCCTGGATGCTGCTACTGTTGCTGTCCATAGGTTTCTACTGTTAGATTACAATCTGAGAATGATGTGTGAAGCATTCAGAATAAGTGCCAGGCACTCTAGTCCTGGATGCTGCTGCTGTCCATAGGTTTCTGCTGTTAGATTACAATCCGAGAACGATGTGTGAAGTGTTCAAAATAAATTCATTCATTCATGCATTTAAATTGTATCCTGCTCCCATTAGTGCTGAGGCACTAACTCTGGGCAGTTAAAGTGAGTCAATAAAACTAAGCATTTGTCCCCAAAAAAATAAAAATGGAAAATTATAATTAGTATTGACCTTACCTTCAGCTGTTTTCAAGCACATTCAAAAAAAATTAAAAGAAACAAAAATTAATATTCACACCATTTTAGTCTAACTATAAGATACTTTAACAACAGAATTATCTCAACATCTGCAAAATAAAAACTGTGCATTAGTTTAGTCATGCCTCTCTAGGTAAAAAACAATGTAGCTATTTCTGTCGCTTCCAAAAACCCTTTCATCTATTCCTGTTCAATGTTTTTGACTTTGTGCATTAGTTTAGTCATGCCTCTCTAGGCAAAAAAAGTTGATTCTAAAAACCCTTTCAAGCAAAGCATTTATTCCTGTTCAATGCTTTTGACTCTGACAATCATATCCATGTGGTCACATGAAGGTTTTTACACAATGGATCCCTTTTACTTTCTTGGTGATTCAAGGTATACAGTGATATTGCAAACTGGTATCCCCAAGCAACTGTTTCCTTCACCTTTACTAAACCACTCACTTCCCCCTCTACTAATCTATATTATTCATTTCATTCTGCAGAGTTCTGGATTTCAGGAACAGCTTCCAGTTATAATGTTATAGCAATATTAATTTAGCTGTTATGTCAGGGAAAGGAGAACAGAGAGCTGGAATCTTCAGAATCTATGTGCTGAACTTTCTATTCACATGAGCTTATGCCAATCTATTCAAATCTAAAGCAAAAATACCAGAATGATCCAGAGCAACCCCAGAATGTTTGGGGACAACACATCAGTATGAACAAGCCCAATTTACCTTGTGGACAGCTTCCTTCCTAATCTGAAGCCCCTTATTCCTAGCCCACAGGACTGCTTCTAATAATCATTTCATCCCCATGGCAAGCCTGCATATTTCTCCACAACAAAGTTACTGAAAGCAAGATTAGTTCATGTCCTTAGATAAGTGTTATTTCTTTAGGAAATCTGTACCTTCCAGTGGCTTGTCAGCAACTGCTTCCTTCTCCTCATTGTCTTCTGGTTTTGTGACCACCATTGATGTCAAAGGTGTCACAAACTTATATTTCAGAGACATTTCCAGGGCTTCAGCTGTAAGATTGTCTTTTTCATCTCCCTTTGCTATCATACTAAATGGAAGGATATCATGGACATATATAGGTATTGGCTTTAAAGCAATAAAAACCAAATGACTTATGGTGCAGTAGTTAAACAGCATTCTGGTTTTGTGACCACCATTGATGTCAAAGGTGTCACAAACTTATATTTCAGAGACATTTCCAGGGCTTCAGCTGTAAGATTGTCTTTTTCATCTCCCTTTGCTATCATACTAAATGGAAGGATATCATGGACATATATAAGTATTGGCTTTAAAGCAATAAAAACCAAAGGACTTATGGTGCAGTAGTTAAACAGCAGTATAGTCGTGGCCCGCTTAACGATTACCCCACATTACGGCGAATCCGCTTCACGGCGATGTTTTTGCAACCGCAATTGCAGCCGCAAAACAATGTTTTAAATGGTTTTGTTTTGTTTTGTTTTTTTGCTTTGCGAAGATTGGTGCCCTGCTTCGGGAACCGATTCTTTGAATTACAAGGATCAAAACAGCTGATGTCAGGTTTTCAAAATGGCCACCAGGTGCTCAAAATGGCTCCCCGCTGTGCTTAGGGACAGATTCCTTGCTATACAGGCACTGAAAATGGCCACCTTATGGAGGATCTTCACTGGATGGTGAGTTTTTAGCCCATTGGAACACATTAACCCGGTTTTAATGCGTTTCAATTGGTTTTTTATTTTCGCTTTACGATGTTTTCGCTCTACAGCAATTTCGCTGGAACGAATTAATGTTGTTAAGTGAGGCACCACTGTACTGGACTCAAGCCTCTGCTCAAAACCTGAGTTCAGTCCTGATGGATACATGTAGCAGGGTCAAGGTTGACTCAGCCTTCCATCCTTCTGTCCAAACGGCAAGGATGGTAAAATGAGAACCCAGCTCCCTAGGAGGCAAAGTGTTCCTTGTATAATTATGTCGTAAACCGCCCAGAGAGCACTCTAGCACTATGGGGCAGCATATAAGTAAAAATATACAGTGGTGCCTCAACTTAGGAACTTAATCCATTCCAGAAGATCGTCATAACTCGAAATGGTCGTAAGTGAAAACACCATTTCCCATATGAATGCACTGAAAAGCGATTAATCCGTTCCGGCTGAAAAAAAATCACCAACACCCCCGCCACTGCAAGACCAATTGGAAATGCCATTAATCCGTTCCAGCCGAAGGGGGGAAAAAACTAAAAAGCAAGCAGAGACTGCAAGACCCATCGGAAATGCAAAAAAACCTCACAACAACCAAAAAGCAAACAGAGACTGCAAGACCCATCCGCAGATAATATGGGGAAGTGCTTAATTCACAGCTGATCAGGCTACAAGGAGTTGTTTGCCGTTTGGACAAGAGGAACATGCTAAATGGCACATTGCTTCTCCCCCCAACTCAATAGACTCTTTGTAGCCCAATCCACCCCACAGCCAAAACTGGCCAGTCTGGAAAGGCCCAATGGGTGTGCCAAAAAAGAATACATACCCTACTGCTGGACCAGAAAGATCTGGAACAGCTCTTAAAGGGGAAAGATAGTTCATTCTAAATACTGTACAAACACTTGCAGATGAGGTATTTATTTTTGATCAAAGCTGTACCATCAGTGCAGATAGACCCAAGGACTAACTATCCACTGAACAGAGAAAGAATTCCTGCAAGAACCTTTGTTCATTCATTCCTGCCAGGGGAAAAAACCACACTTGGCTTCAACTACCCCTTGCCCTGGGACTGCAGATCTGAAGCAAAGCACTTTCTGACTTATGCTATTAACCACAAAATTGCTGTCTTATGTAGGCAAGTGAATTTGGGGAAATGGGAATTGTACATGTTCTCAATGGGACGAGAAAATGTCAGCATATTTCCCCCACTCTGGCTGCCTTGCATTGGCTGTCCGTTCGTTTCCACATTGATTTCAAAGTGGTAATGATGACATATAAAGCCCTAAACAGTTTAGGACCTTGATATCTAGCAGAACGCTTAGATCTACTTGAATCGCTCGTTCTAGCCAGGAAGGGCGGCTGAGGGGCCTAACGCTGAGGGAGGCCCAGAGAGAAAGAACAAGAAGCCGGGCGTTCTTGGCAGTGGCCCCTCGCCTTTCGAACAGTCTCCCTTCAGAGACCTGTCTGGCTCCCTTGGTGGGTGTTTTTAAGAGTCAACTTAAAACCTGGCTCTTTAGGCAGGCTTTCCCTCCTGTCATCGCTTGATTATTTTTATCTTTTCCCCATCTTGAATTATGTTATTATTGTTGTTCTCTATTTTATTGTATTGCTTTTATGCTATTTTTTTATTGTTAGCCACCCAGAGTAGACTTGAGTCTAAATGGGCTGGGTATAAATTTAATAAATACTGTAAATAAATAAATAAAATACCATTGGAACCTGTTGAAATATGTTATTTTGGGGGGAAAAAAGCTCACCTAAAAAGCAGGGTATATACACTAGAGTACATTAATATTTCAAGAAATTAATTCTCTGAAAAGCTACTTCCTTACCGTTTGTCTAGAAGCTGCTGAACGGTGAGATAAGCCCAAAGTCTCTCAATATAGTCTCCAAATATATATTGCTGCTCTTCAAAAGCTTTGGCTGTTTCCTCTACATCTGCTTGTTCAGTGAAAGTCAGATCCTGAACTGCCTGGCAAAAACAATATACAAGCATTTGCAAACTGTCATATTTCTTCAGGACACAAATAACTGCATAGGACAGGAATGTAAATTCCCTACTTGGGTAGATAAAGTCTTTCTTCATGTGATCCCACATGATTTAGGAGGACTGTTATCCATTATTAGAAGACCACAGTGGACTTTAGTTTAAGTATTGTAGCTATGTTGCTTCCATGACCTCTAAGTTGCTCATTGACTAATTTTATGATTGAAGTTAAATAGAGAGATTCCTTAGATCAGGACACAACTTACAGTTCTCTTCAATACTGTATTTTCAAAGTGGCAGGTGTGTCACTTCCTCAGTCTACAGTATATAAATTTTTAGTAAAACTCATAGAATTGCCATTGTTGAAATCATCTTCAACATTTTCCTGTCGCATCCACTTTGGAATTTTCTTCCTTTCAGATACTTTGCACTATATATTTTAGTGCTGTCAAATCTGACTGATACTTACGCCTTGAGCTTTCACTTCTGCAACAATGCTGTTCAGGTCGTTGTCTGTAATTCGTCCAGCAACAACGATTTCAGAACCGTCATAGTAATGTTTAAAATTATTTTGAGTCAAGTCAGAGATGGCATTTTCAGAGTATTCTAATTCAATTTCAGTAAGCAAGGGATTTGCTACTTCATCATAGAAACCCTAGAAACAAAGCATTTATAAGAACAAGAGCAGCAAAAGAAAACAGTGCAAAACTCAGCGAATGAGACATTACTTTTAAGCCTTTCTGCTGTGCTCCATATTACTTTTTTTTGCACCTGGATCCATATTTCCCTTCCAAAGGACCTGCCTTTTACCGTTTTTTTCCTGGACAGAGAAGCCACCTTGCCAAGTTAGCTCTGGTAATGCCTGAACCCTCCCAGAAGTCCTACAAAATTTTATAGACCTCTTAGGGGAAAAAATCAGAAGCCTTTGTTCATCACAGCTGCCATTTATCAGTGAATTCCAGAATGAAACTGAACAATCACAGATCTAAATCTTTCCACTGCTGCAATCACTTCATCAGTTATGGCCAGATATTGGCCAGAGCACTCAGATTGCTTGTGAAGAGCAGGTATAGGGAAGGGCTGTTGTCTGTTTTTCTGATGATTGTTTGAACGATGGCTTGGTGGCGGCCAGAGAAAACCTGCTCCAGAGCAAACAGGTATTACAAAGAACACAGGCAGACAGAGAGCAGGAGGAAGAGCGGGGGACAATTGCAGAAAATATCTGAACCTTTTTATTCCCCCATCTCATGTCCAAGGAAGGATGACAGCAACATGGGGTGATGCTAGTGGTTTCTTCTCCTAGAAATATTTCATCCTAAATACCAGATTGAATACTACCATTCCACAGGATTATTCTACCTGTAACTGTAGGGCTGCATCAGAGTCTTCATAGATGCGACGAGCCACTCCATTGTTCTCTTTTGATAACTCTTCCAAAAATCCATAGTTCATATTATAACCAAACCCAAGATTGTACAAAGGGTATTTTCCCTCAGTTGCATTTTTTACATTCTCCCGAATCCTGTTTGGGTCATAGACACCTGAATGAAATAAAACATACAAAATACTTAAGCTTTACTGTTGATGTTAACACAAACAGGAAAATAGTATTATATGAAAACATTTCAAATATTTTAAACTGGTAACGATACTTTCAAAATGCAAAGCACCATCACTGCAGGTGAAAATACTTCAAAAATAAAACTATGAAGGTTTTTTTTCCTTCCAGACAACCACAAAAGAGTTATTCTTTATCTCTACTGGAAATGACAAAATGAGAATAGAAGTCATTTGCATTAAAACACAGAAAAAACATCTTGCACAGATTGTCCTGGTTGTGAGATTTAGGGACTATATCTTTGGAACCCTGTGGCACAATGATTAAACTGTGGTACTGCACTCAAGACTCTGCTCACAACCTGAGTTCAATCCCAGTGGGATCAGGTGGCCAGCTTAGGTTGACTCAGCCTTCCATAATTCTGAGGTTGATAAAATGAGTACTCAGCTCCTGGGAAGGGGGAACGTGTACCCTGCACAATTAAATTGTAATTGCTGCTTGTTTGTTTAAACATGTTTTCAGTTTAAAACGAAAGCCTAACACAATTCATGTAAAAAGCCAATTAATTATACAGAAACCGACAAGAACCATGAAATCAAAATAAAACAAATAGACAAGAAACTCATGTATAACTAGTAACAGGTTGACATAATAGCTATTTATAAACTGCTGCTTCTAAGGACCAAACTACTGTACATATGGGCTTCGTGGCACGGTGGTTAAACTGCAGTCCTGGAGTCAAGCCTCTGCTCATGATCTGAATTCAGGTAGCCAGCTCAAAGTTGACTCAGGATCTAGCTCACAGGGAGGGGAAAGTGTACCTTGCATAATTATGCTGTAAACCACCCAAAGAATGCTCTAGCCCTATGGAACAGTATATAAGTCAAAAGAAGAAAGAACTATTTAAAGTCTGCCTGAGTTGTTTGTAATTGCATTTTTATACTGTACGGATCATTATTCTCATTTTAATAATCTTCTGAGATGTTGTCATCAAGATTTCAAAACTGGAGCGTGGAGCAAGGAAGACCTACAAGGAAGACCTCCCCAGACCTGTCACATAGGGAGTCACCCAATCCCAATGTTAGTGTTGGTGTATTTGGAGATTATATCACTTGTTCAGACACTTACCTTCATTGGCATCACCATCTGTTAACATGATAATCAAAGAGGCACTTTTACTAGGAACAGTACCCAATTCATGAGCTTTATTCAGCATATTAATTCCAGTCAGTAAACCATCATTAAGATCTGTTCCTGCAATACAGAAATAAGGATTTAGTTTGTATTTTCTAATGCCAAATAATGACCCTCAACAACTTTCTGGCTTGTGTGCATGCTTATTTTCCTTTTTCTGGCTTTTTGACAAAAGAAGCCATCTTGTTTTCATTTCCACACATTTTAAAAAAATGTAAATTATTTCCTTATGTCAGATTAGTTAAACTAATACTTAATCCTTCCTAAGAGTCCTATAGAACTTTATAGACCTCCCAGGGAAAAAAAAATCAGAAGCTGTGTTCTGTTCATCACAGCTGGCATTTTTCCCAATAAATGAAACTAAACAATCTTTAACAATCATATCACAATCCATCTGAGTATTAAGATATAAATCTTTGCAATGTTACAATACTTCCAGGCAACATCAGCTTGTTTAATTTCATAAGTTTTATTGGTGTTACAATACTTCCAGGCAACATCAGCTTATTTAATTTCATAAGTTTTATTGATCTACGCTTCTATGTTCCATAAGCACAAAATACTTCAAAAAGCTTAAATACACCCACAAGCCTTACAGCTATGGAAAAACTGTAGGTAGAAATACTTAAACAAAATTCTAAAAGTTTCACAACTATGAGAATATGCTGTTTAAAAATAATCCAAAAACACAATTTAAATTGTAAGCAAATATTTTATAACAATGACGATGATAATAATGATGATGATAGTCTTAGAACTGAAGAGCTGGAAGGGACGCTATGGATCATCAAATCCAGCAAGTCAGAATTCAATCCAATCCAAAATTACTGGAGCAAAAGTATAATAAAATATTGAAAAAGAATGTTTTAAGTTACATTCTAAAGACACAGGAGTTTCTAACGTATAAAGGAAAAAAAGACATCTCTAGAATACATCAGTGAAAACATTGTAACTTTTAGTGCTTGTTAACTGCAATTAAAAACCCATTAAAATAACAAAAATAAATAAATAAATAAATAAATAAAAACCCATTAAAATAACAAAACATTTAAAAATAAAATTATCTTAGTGAAAAAAACTTTCTTTGCTGCTATATGATCATTATTCCTTGACGTCTGCTGGGCAAAGCAGCATAGAGTTGTTATATAATAAATCTTATTGCCCCATATTTATGACTTTTTAAGATGTTTTCTGTCCTTATAATTACAGAAATACCTTATATGAGGGTTTTGTAAGCCCAAATGCTTAAAAATCCAATTATACTTTTTGCAATTGGAAATTGTATTATTATTGCATATATAATACTCTAATAGCCTACAATCGACAATTCAGCAAACTGCCATTATACTGATAGCAATTTTTGTTTTGACTAACAATTTTGTTTACTTGTATGAACGTAGTGTTGTAACAGTAAAGACTTGAAAACCCTGAAACCTGGAAAAGCTGATAACTGCCATACAAAAGTATTGAAACTACAACATGTGCAGACGATCATACATGCATAATCTCTTGCTCAGCCAGAGTGAACTAATCGTTTTGGTGCATTTAAAATCATCTTGCACTGACTATAGTAAACAGTTTTTTCTAACCTTCAAGTTTAAAAGCACTTTCATTTTCAGGGCTTTTTTTAAAAATACACCCTTAATTATTTTAATACTCTTCTATAAAAAATTTCAAACCTTAACATTTAAAGAAATTTGCATCTTGCAATTCTTTATACTTTTGCTTTTCCGTTAATCACATCTTTCTGGACTGATAAAGGTAAAGGTTCCCCTTGACAATTTTTGTCCAGTCATGTTCGACTCTAGGGGGCGGTGCTCATCCCTGTTTCCAAGCCATAGAGCCAGTGTTTTGTCCGAAGACAAATTCCCGTGGTCACATGGCCAGTGCGACTTAGACACGGAACGCTGTTACCTTCCTACCGAAGTGGTCCCTATTTATCTACTTGCATTTGCATGCTTTCGAACCGCTAGGTTGGCGGGAGCTGGGACAAAGCAACGGGAGCTCACTCCGTTGCGTGGATTCAATCTTACGACTGCTGGTCTTCTGACCCTGCAGCACAGGCTTCTGCGGTTTAGCCCGCAGCACCACCACGTCCCTTAATATCTGGACTGATATTTCTATGTAAAAGTATAGATCTGGATCAACAATTTGAATAACTAACTGCCTGGAGGTCTGAGCTTTGTTCTCAGTCAGCAAAGGGGAACCGAGACCTTAAGGACATTTTGTTTTCTCCCAGTATTGAAGTAGTTTTTTCCTTGCATCTTGCATTTATTAAAAGATTTCAAGTGGTTTGTAACACTGGTACTAACGGTCACAATGAAATAATGGGTGATGGCAGATGAAACTATAAGTTTGGCTCAAGTATTGACCCTTGTAGAGAGGAGTATGGATGATTTAAGGAAGTACAACAAAATCAAAACCACCTGAAAGTAAAAAATTTGTCCCATTCTCAGAAATTTCTTTTCACAATCCTTACAGAGTACTCACCTCCTCTATCTACAATATTCGCAATAAATGTCTTTGCTTCTTCCACATTTTCAGGTGTGGCTTGAATTAAGCTTTCTTTCCATTTAGAAACGGAACTCTCAAACAATACAATATTAAAGTGATCCTCTTCCTTTAGATCTTCAACTATCTTGACAAATGCTTCCCTTGCCTTTAATGAAATAAGAAGTGCACATATATATACATATATTAAAATTTCTACCATTCAGGTGTGTAGGGATGGGATAATGAAAATGTTGTTTAGTATTATGGGTAAGATATTGTTCTTACAAGATTAGTGGGGGGCATGAGCAAGGTATAGCGTGAGGTCCTTATTTATTTATTTGTTTGTTTGTTTGTTTGTTTGTTTGTTTATTTGATTTATATCCCGCCCATCTGGTCTGGTCGACCACTCTGGGTGGCTTCCAATAAAAGTATATTTATAATAAAACATAATAATATTACAATCAATCGAAGCACATACAATAATAGAACAAATAAGGAAGGGGAAAAAAAAGAATTAAATATTGACAGAAGGGAAGGCCTGAACATATAACCATGTTTTTAATTCACTCTTGAAAGTCCTTCACCAAGCATGCCCTCCCAGCTGTTTTGTAGCTCCCATGGCACTTCCTTCTCTGGTGTCTGTGGATGCTTCCTTTTCTTCCGCACTGCTACACAGTTCTGTTACTCTTTACCCTCTCGGGGTTACATCTTCCTCTTACCCTTCCCCCAACCGCTATCACTATTTTGCTGGTGGTAGAAAGTGGTTTCTTTTTGCTTTCTTAGTGTTGAGGTATCAGAGTATGCTTGCTGGTGAGGATCAAGCAGCTACAGCCCCTGCCAGTCCCTGAGCAGGCTGTGTCCCAAAGTCCAGCCCAAGTGCAGTTACTGATTCTTATTTCCTGTGTTCTTAAGCCACATTTTATTGAATAATTATCCATGACAAGAAAGGGTAATGGAAGGACTATTCCCCTTGGATTGGTGGAAGGTGCAGACTTCATGCTAAAAAAAATTATGCCTATTTTTCTAATCTTAATTAAGAGACTGGTAACATCTTGCAGCTCAGATGCTGATTTCCCACTAGTGTGTATATTCCAAGATGTTCTCTGAATCCTAATTGGCAGCTGACAGACCTTGTCATGAGACTTGCAAAGTTATTCGTTGGAACATCTATGAGGTGATTTTCCATACATTGGTCAAATAAAGGTATTCTGATAGAGAAAATCCAATCAAAATCTGGTATTTCCATTGCTCGCTCTCTCTCTTGTATGTCCAAATGTATCAGATTTCAGAGGCTTTCTATCAAAAATTTACAAAACACTCTGAAAATTAAAAAAAAAAGCATCTTTTGGGGTTTCCCCCATTCAGGATAACCTAGTATGAATTAATGTTGATCCCTAGTATCAACTAGTATCAATTAATGTTAATCTAAACTGTGATTTAGACAGTCAAGTTATCCTTGGCTGACTCAGGCTGAACAGAGTTGCTTCAAAGTGTGGCATGCCATTAAGAGTGATTTTCGCATTGGCATGCAAGCGCTGGGTAGTTTCAGGACAAGAAATCACACCACACCCATTCCTTCCTCTCCACTTCCATGGCCCAGCATCCTCTCCTGTCTTCTACTCTTCAGAGGAGCAGAAGGCTATTTGAATTTCATTTTACATTTATTGGTAAGCGGCATACTGCTCCAGTGCCACTTTGGTTTGGTACTGAGATTCACACATCCGAAAAATGAACTCAACAGACCAATCATACAAACGCTTAAAAATAAAATTAAAAAACTTGCCCTGCCAGTGGTCCAATCTCAACATGAGCAAATCTCAGCTAAATTATGAAGTGCCACTAAGAGATCTATATGGTATGTTTGATCAGCTGTTATGGGGAACCTGAGGCCCTGGGGAAATATCCAGCCCTTCTGGCCTCCCAAACCTTCTCTCAGGCTATGCCTGCTTTCCTGTGGTGGTTTCTTAGCTTCTGAAACTTTTTTCCTTATTGTAAAAGGTTGAAATATCTACCTTTGCAAAAACTTAATTATTGGCAGTAAGCATTTTAAGAAGTAGCTGCTTTATTATCTCAACTCTTGGCCCCACCCATCACTGAAGTGTGGTTCACACAACCTTCCCTAAGTTGCAAATAGTCCCTACTCTTGTCCGTAAAGATTTCTCCTCAGAAGAGAAAGACATATTTTCTGCTATAAACAGGTTAACCATCTAAGGGTCAATTTTATAGTGTTCTGTTACCTGGCGAATTTTCTGTCCATACATAGAGCCACTGATATCTATTACAAAGACAATGTTCTTTGGCAAATGTTGAAGATTTTTGGGTGCAAAAAAATGTACAAAATATCCATTGACAACCTGAAAAACAAGAATAAGAAGTGAAAATCACATTATCATGAGCTTTTTGTACTGGTATAATAACTCGAATGATGAATAAACAGATTTACCTGTAAATTACTAGGAGAGTCTCTGTTCACATCATACTTTATGATAAAATCTCCTTCCAGCAAAGTGGTTGTACAATTGTCACAAGTTTTTTGTTGATCAATGGTGGGACTGAAAGACACGTGGCCCTTGAGGAAGAAAAATCTGTTATCTTAGATTTCTGTAAACAAATGGAATTTTGCACTCACTCTTTGAGATCCAGGAGAAGTAATTTCTCCCATTTGTTATTACTCTTTTGTACAATTTTCATTTAATGGTATTACTGTTTTTTTAAATCCCTCTCCCCCACATCTCAGAAGGAACTTAGGGAATGTGTCTGGGAACTATTTTAATGTTACAGGCTTCCATAGTTCTCTGAATATCAGTGTGGATGGCCCTTTAGCAATTCATGGAGATAAATATGGGCTTGGCAAGGTAGCAACCTGGTAATGTGTTTCCCTAGGAACTAACGGAACTTACAGTCTTTTGAAATATGCCCTGGCTAATGATGTGTCTGTGTGAAAGTAACAGTACAAACTGCAGTTTAACTTTAAATCAATCAAGAAGTTTAAAAAATAGAGTCTCGGGGCTTTATGCCTATTTTTCTGAATGAATTTATTTATTACGGTCAGGTGACCAGCTCATAAAGCATATTTATGGTTAAAATATACAAAATGCAGTTTAAAAAATGTACAACCAATTCATAAAACATATTATGTGGCTAAAATATACAAAATGCAGTTAAAATATAAAATCAATTCATAAAATATTTATGTGGTTAAAATACACAAAATGCAATAAAAAAGATGTACAGCAGGTTCATAAAACATATTATATGGTTAAAATATAAATGTTTTCTCCTTACAACGAAGATGCAGATATCAGTTGTAAACTGAGCACTGGTGGCCATTTTGAATTTTACTACACAATCCTTGTTGCTTATCAGTGTCTATATCCCCCCACAGCCAGCTCATTCCCAGTCCAAAGACCGCTGGGCAAAACTAACAGACTATATTGATAGCGTGGTTTTATTATATTCAACAGCTTCCTTGATGGTGCTAGGGGATTTTAATGGTAGGACTGGAGAAAATGATGAGGCTATTTATGCTCGATTTCATATGAGCCCCCTGGAGCATATCCCCTCCCAACATCTATTCCCAAGACAATCTAAGGATCTAGGTTGCAATTATGCAGGTCTATATTTAATGCAGATGGCCAACAACCTGGATTTAGCCCTACTAAATGGGTGCACTGAGGCGGACAGGCCAGGGGAGTATACATTTATTTCACCAATGGAAGTCTCAACCATTTATTACATTATGATCTCCAAGGATCTGCAGACTTAATATGTGACTTCGGGGTGGAATGCCGCCCTGAGCGTGATCACTTTCTTTTGTATGTATCAATCAACTGCAGAGCCACTAAAGTATTTGCAGACAGCGAATTTTCCTTCCCATGGACAGCTGAAATAAGAGCTGCCTGAGTAAAATGGTCCACAGAAATGGTTACCCTTCTTCACTCAATGGTGTTGTCTGTGGTTGTTGTAGGTCTTTCTGGTATTTTTGTTGCAGATATGAACAGATTGTTCCAATATTTGCATCCACACTTGGACAGTGCATTTGCTGCTGGAGTTATCCTGGAACCATCAGTCCACATGTCTCTGGACTTGCTCCCTGACATCTCACTCGCAGCACAGATTGTCTTGACCTTTTGCCTCTTATCTCCCCTCTCTCTCTGCCTTTTAATTCTTTCCTTCCTTCCCTCATTTTATCTCCCCATGGGGGAATGGAGGGTAAAGGATGACTACCAGAAAAAGGATCATAAGGAAATACCATAAAATGACACCCACTCATAGAGTGTGTGAATCAATGTGGGACAACTTAGTACTAGGGTACACATGAGCAAATCCTGCAGTGGAACAAAGGAGAACAAATACAGTATACAGGACCATCTGGTGGTAGCATAAAAAACCAAAAAGTAAGGGGGAGTTGACTTATCTTGATATTAGTTTCAGCCCTGTATTGTGTGCACACCCGGTGAATATCATGAGTGCAAGATGATTTGAACAAATGCTTGGCTCTTAATGTGCTAATTTTTAGGTTCTAATCTAAAAATATTTGGGGCAGCTGTGTCTTTTTCCAGATATTTGATGCGTCTTGCAGTGTTTAAACCACTCCAATCTATGTTCAGCACAAATACTACATAATATTAATGTGCCTCCAGAGATGACCTTCCAGAGAAACAAAACCTGGAAAAGTGCTGAGCCCATGGAACTTCTTACCGCTTGAAGAAGTGAGAGGAACATAACAATACTCCCACTTGGATAGATTCCAGGAGGAATTGTGTGGCTTTTAGGCTAGTAATTTTTTTTTAAAAAAGACAGCCAGCAATGTTTTAGTTTTTCTTTGACAAATCAGATTATCAGCTTTCAAATTAACATAATGAAATGTTCTGTACCTTAATACTTTAATTGTGAAGTTTGCCTAATCTTCTCTTACTCCCTCATTGTTATCACTTGTGGGGAGAAGACATAACACCCCAGTCCTTCGAGGGCATATTGGAGATAGAGATCCAAAATCTGTAACCTACTGTTTTAATTCCCAAAGGCAGGAATGCATGGAAATAGCCTTGAGAAAGAGGCATCAAACAGGTAGTGGATAGAGTGACAGATTACAATTCCAGAGATTTGAGTCTGAATTCCTGCTTGGTCATGGAAACTTACTGGAGGGTATATAAGTTGCATGTGACTTGACACATAACAACTACAAGCCTTGATGAAGGTTCAGTAATGCTATTGTTTTCTGTGACCATTCCTGTTCTGTATGAGAACTGGGCAAGGCTGAAGAATGACTCTGGTAATACATTCATTTTGCTTGTACTTTCCTTAATTTAAATCTCAAGCATACTGGATCATCAATGCTTATTCTAATCTTATGCACCTTACATAAACAGAGGATGGTGGAGATAATTGCAAACCTCTCTTTATGTAAGTTATTGCATATGGTCGCTATTTTTATTTGATTTAATTCTTCCAATTTGAAGCAAATATATTCAAACATTTCTTAAAATACATACACTATAAGGAAAACAGCCAAGGAAAGAGTTCCTTCATTCAGTAACATCCCAAACATAAACATTTTAAGGACATTTGCAGATGAATATTTTACATGTAGTTTCCTTGCCTCATTCATGGAATACTTAATCTTGTGCAGTTGTTTAAATATAATGGTTGTTGTGGGTTTTTCGGGCTCTTTGGCCGTGTTCTGAAGGTTGTTCTTCCTAACGTTTCGCCAGTCTCTGTGGCCGGCATCTTCAGAGGACAGCACTCTGTGCTCTGGTATTTAAATATACTTTTTATTCAATATTATTGTGAGTCATCTTTACTCTGACTTTTGGGAGAAAGGTGGGGAACAGATCCAAAAGAAAACAAAATCTTAGAGGGGATTCAGACATTATTTTCCACTTGTAGCCTTCTTATATTTTCTCATTTTTTGTCTTTCTCCTTACTGCAGAAAATCCATTATGGAGGAAAAAGACAACAAGCTGCATAATGTCTTTTGACTGGGTCTGCCATCTCTACTTAGGTAGCCCTTCCGGCTTTACAGAAACCTACATGTCAGTTTGCTCAAATCCATCTAAATGATTGTTATGATTGTTAAGACATACCTTTTTTCCTGAATAAGACTTTTTTAAAACTGGTAACAGTTCATTGTTGAGGAATGTTCCTTCTACTTCAAGTTCACTGATACCTTGAGGCTCAAAGATATTGGCCTCTATCTGTAATACAATAAAGGCCAACAATATAAAGAAGATCTACAGGATGAATTTTACCCAAATGCATTTTTAAAAAAAAGACTGATTTGGAAGTTGTTTCACAAATTCATCTCGGAGTTACTTGCTAGAAATTCTGGAGTATGTGCCACTGAAAAAACTGTCTCCAAAACATACAAGAACTTCCACAGAAAGCTTGAGAAACAGTGACATGAGGGCAAGCTTATTTTACTACTGTAGCTATTTTAAATATATTTTGTTCTTTTAATTTTTCAAGCATTTAAACTTTTTTACTTTTACTTAAACTACCTCATGGAAGCTTGACTTTGAAAAGTGGTGAAACATGTTTTCAATAAATAAATATATATTCCCACATCATGAAAAACATCCTGAAAATTTCACTGCATATTTTCTTATTCTTACACATCAGCACTACCCATGGGTACAACTAAAGAAGTTACCTCAAACTTATTGACAAGTTGCTTTGGGTTTACTTTTATGAACTGCTCATATTTTCCAAAACGCCGTTTCAACAGCTCCTCATATGTCAGTTCAAAAATGATTTTGCTGGCTGCTGCAATGTTCACGGAAACACTGAATTTTTCTGTTTTTCTTCCAGAAGCTCTTCACATGTTGAACAAAGTATTTATGTTTAGTGAAAAAGCTAGTAGCATACAAATCTAAGTTGAACAGATCACAAACTGGCCATAACAAGTCTTAGTCAAAAGAACAACTTTAATCTGAATCTGAATTATAGTAACATACGTATGTCACCTACTTATCTGGGTGATTCTATAAACAGAGTACCTTCACTGAAAAGACTATCTCCTTAACTGCTCCACAGTGAAGTCACCAAAATAAGGTTATTACTATATAGATGATAATGATTGGACACGTTCATAAGTAAACCTATATACAAATAAATATTCTAGTAATCTGATTTTTTTATCTTGCAGAAGGTTTTAAAATAGGTGCTTTATTCTTCAGGAGGGGGTATGCAAGCATGCATGCATGTGCAATTGAGGAAAGTCAGTCTTCAATCCAGTTGTTTCCCCCAGCAAATGCTTTTATTTACTTTCTGCACATTTCCTCCCCCACCAGCAACCACTAAGCTAAAAATAATGGAAGGGGGTGGGTGGGAGGAGAAAGAAAGAGATGCTGTTGTCTGTCAATGAATATGAGAGGTGGGGACCAACATAACCCCCTTCTCCACTTTTTCCTGCAACCATAATTCAGCAGGCTGCGGTGGCCTTACTCTCTTTTTTTTATTAAATAAAGCAAGTGATATATTTATTTATTTTATTTATTTATTGGACTTATATACCGCCCCATGGCGCTACAAGCACTCTCCGGGCGGTTTACAATTTTAATTATACAGGCTACACATATAGTAAAATCTACTTAGCATGGTACACATAATACTACCAATGTATCTCATATATTTAAAGTAGTGCTGCATCAATAGGGAACTATTTTTAAAAATAAAGCAGTAGAAGAAATGAAACAAAGGAGAAGAGTTTCCTGTCGTCCATTAAAAAGTCACAATCCACATAATACATCACAGATAACACTGCCCACAGCTGCATTTGGATGCAAACTACCCATCTACACAGGGTACAAAATGAAATAATTAGGAATATGCCAAATTGTGCCAACCCCCCCCCCCGAAGTCAGAAAGGAGCACAGCAGCTCTAAAAAGGGCCCTGATAGAGCGATCTAAGTCAAAACACATGTAGATGCCATAATTTGATTCAAACCAAATTGCACCAAAAGCAATCCAAATAATGAGCAATACACTTGTTTGGACAGACCTTTGCTCCCATTGATTTCAGTGAGACTTAGTCTTAGTCACACTGACACAGGATTTTAGTCTGTCCTATGAAAAACATTATAGAAGAAATATCAACAGCCTCACATATGCGGATGATACCACTCTGATGACAGAAAGTGAGGAGGAATTAAAGAATCTCTTAATGAAGGTGAAAGAGGTGAGCGCAAAAAATGGTCTGAAGCGCAACATCAAAAAAACTAAAATCATGGCCACTGGTCCCATCACCTCCTGGCAAACAGAAGGGGAAGATATGGAGGCAGTGACAGATTTTACTTTCTTGGGTTTCGTGATCACTCCAGATGGTGCCAGCAGCCACGAAATTAAAAGACTTCTGCTCTAGTCCATGGGGTCACAAAGAGTTGGACACAACTTGATGACTAAACAACAACAACAATTAAGAACAACGGGACTACTTTCTTGTTGTTGTTTAGTTGTCAAGTCATGTCCGACTCTTCATGACCCCACGGACCAGAGCATGCCAGGCCCTCCTGTCTTCCAATGCCTCCTGGAGTTTGGTCAAATTCATGTTGGTAGCTTTGATGACACTGTAAATCCATCTCATCCTTTATCGTCCCCTTCTCCTCTTGCCCTCACACTTTCCCAACATCAGGGTCTTCTCCAGAGAGATTTCTCTTCCCACGAGATGGCCAATGTATTGAAGCCTCAGCTTCAGGATCTGTTCTTCCAGTGAGCACTCAGGGTTGATTTCCTTCAGAATGGATAGGCTTGTTCTCCTTGCAGTCCAGGGGACTCTCAAGAGCCTCCTTCAGCACTACAATTCAAAAGCATCAGTTCTTCGGCGGTCAGCCTTCTTTATGGTCCAGCTCTCACTTCTATACATTGCTACTGGAAAAACCATAGCTTTGACTATGTGGACCTTTTATGGCAAGGTGATGTCTCAGCTTTTTAAGAATGCTGTCTAGGTTTGTCATCACTTTCCTCCCAAGAAGCAGCCGTCTTTTAATTTCGTGGCTGCTGGCACCATCTGCAGTGATCATGGAGCCCAAGAAAGTATAAATTGTGACTGCCTCCATATCTTCCCCTTCTATTTGCCAGGAGGTGATGGGGTGGCCATGATCTTAGTTTTGTTCTATACAGTTACTCACAAATAAATCCTATTATTATGGGACTTACACCATGGGCTCACATCTACTTTTTGATAGCTTGTGCTTATAACAAATAAAATTACTGGTGGATTGAATCCTGAATGTTTGTAGTCTGGGATCCTGATCTTTTCATTTGTTCTTATTTCATACCTTTAAAAGGTCTTTATTATAAACAAAAGTTTAGGACTAAAAAGAAATGACAAAACTAGGGCTCAGACTTACTTCACAAGACCTGCAGTCCGTCCACTTGAAACTGCTTGTTGGTACTGTTTTTGAGCAACTTCTTTTTCCTTTATAATTCCAGGGTAGACAACACCATCAATTGTCCTATTGACAAACAGATAAGCAATTATTTGAATACTTATGCAGTAGGAAAATATTTTTACTGGTTATCATTTTAAAAGCACTTCATCAGGTTCCTACTTGCATGTATTAAACAGTTAGAATGGTTGAAAAGGTGGCCCAAAGAGATTCTGTGATCCACATAATTGAATCTTATTTTACAGGAAGAACATTGGTTGTGTGTTGATGGCAGAATTCTGATTTAGGCAAAAGAAAAAGGAAACACAATGGTGTCATGTGTATGACACCTCACTTGGCAACAATACATACAGAAAGGATTTCAGTCAGAGTTTGGAAAAGGATATCGTTATTAAGAAAAAGAATAATTTTCATTTATTGCTCAAAGCACCTCAAAGTAGTCAGTAATGTTGAAAATTTCTAGTTTTAGAAAGTAACATTTACCGTATTTTTCCATGTATAAGATGCTACTTTTTCCTAAAATCATTACACTAAAAATTGAGGGGCAACTTCTACACAAAAGTAAGCTGAGATAGCTGAGGAGAGAACATAATGATTGGCACATACCTTGCCTCTGTAAACAGGCTTCCTTCAGTCATTTAGCTTCCTCCAGTCAAGAGCCTTATGGAACTGATGTCAGCTGATGATGAATAAACCAATTGGAACACACCTTGTTGGAGGTCGAGCCTATAGGCTCAGAGTTTATTATTATGTATTGTATTGTATTGTATTGTATTGTATTGTATTGTATTGTATTGTATTGTATTATCATTCATGTAAGCCACCCCGAGTAGACTTTGTCTAGAGGGGCAGAGTATAAGTCCAAGTAAAGTAAAGATTCAACAGGGACTCAACATGACCGACCATTTTGAGTCCAGAGGTTGAATCCTCAGAGCTGTTTTTTTTTAAATTTTGGGGTTAAAAGGGGGGGCATCTTATAAGCGGGGGCGTGTTATAAACAGAAAAATGCAGTACTTTCCTTGTGAAACTTTGAAACTGCCGTTACATGGCAAAGAAACAATCCATCATTAAATAACAATGATTATGAAAACATATTTTCTAGTCCGTTGCAGCAAATGAAAAAAGAGAATCCTACAAGATCTTAAAGACTAACATATTTAATCTGGTACAAACTTTTGTGGACTATAAATCCCTTTCATGCATATGAAGAAGTTGGCTACAATCCACATGCCATATGCCAAATAAAATTTGCTAATCTTTAAAATAGTGCAGGATTATTTTTTGCTAGAGCTGTAATGTAACTTCCTTTCATCTTTTTCACTGAAAAAAGAAAGTAGTTATGAGTAACTTTTTATTTGTAACTCATTACTTTTAATCTCTGATCTCAGGACTGAAGTTTATCAGCTGAGTGTCAGTTAGCAGCGTGACATAAAGAAAGGGGCTAAAGCAATTTTAGGCTATATTGATAAAACTATGCTTTTAAAGGTACTAGAAGTAATTTATTGTGATCTAGTTAGATCTCACTTGGATTGTTGTGTCTATACCTGGCTCTAATTTTTTAAAAAAGAATGAAGATAGGCTGGGATGCATTCAGTGGAGGCAACAAAGGTATGGAAATCAAGTTCTATGAAAAAAGCTGGAAGGATCTGGATGACTAGAAGACTAAGGGATGATATGACAACTCTCTTCAAATAACAGAAGGTCTATTGTGGTGAAGAATGCAAAAACACCTCCACTGACCCAAAGAGAAGATCTGATGGGCTAAGTTTACATTCCTTCAAAACTGAACAACTTTATATTGGTTGAACATTTGAAGAAATACTGGTGAGACCAGTTCAACAATAGAACCACTTATTTGGACCAGTCTCAGAGGTCTTCAAACAGAAGTCTAACAGAGATATTTGGGAAGGGGGTGGAATACTCTAGTTCTGGCTTTTCTGTAAGGAGCAGGAAGGTGGAGTACATGGTTTATAATGCCCTCACCAACTTGTGACTTTCAACTCTTGCTGAATTACATATTTCTAGACAAACCCCCAAATATAAGAAGACAGCAATATATTTTACATACATGGTAAAATTGGTAATGAAGCCAGTTTTAGGAAGGTCTACATCAAAGAAGGCTTCTTTTGAGACGTTAGCCCGATTTACAGCTCTGCTTGTGATGATGTTACGGGAAAACCGAGAAGTAATGTGGGAATCAATTTTCACCCAGTAGATTTCTATGCCATGGGTATGCTGGAGAGTGAAAGGGACAGACAGTTACCTCTTGCAAGTATGGTAGTTTATAGATTTCTTTATAAGCTTCATGACATTCTAAGCTCAATAGTTACAATAGACTGAAGATCCTTCTAATAATACAGCCATCAAATTTATTTGGAAAGAAGCATTCAGAATGTGATATCACTTTCTTTCATAAGCCAATGGCCACTGTTTAAATTTCAAAAACAAGAGAATTTCCATATGTTATTTCACCATTTTAATTTAAGCAAATGCACATCACAAGGAGAAAAACTGGATAAAAAGTTGAAAAATATGAGTTCCTGAAGATGCCTGATAATGCTGACAGGATATGAAGAGACAAGAAGGAAATAGCTGGAAAAAAAGGACAGGAACCAAATAAAGAATCAAAGTAGGAAAGATTAAATTTTGAGTTGGGGGCGGTTGCAACTCAATTCTCATCATGTAGAATGTGACCAGAGAGTGGCTATGTAAGCTAGTTGGATGACAGGATCTTTGCTTGGGTGTTTGGTATTCCAAGGTAAACCATAGCCCCATGTATGTGTTCACTGTGCTCATGTGAGAGTTAAAGGAGATGGGGCAATGTGGGATGTATGCAAGCTCTATGCCTTTTCAGTCTTCAATGTTCTTGCACTGAAGGCATGAAGCAGGATTCTGCTTACATGCATGTAGACACCTCCTTCAGAATGTCCTAGTTTTGAAGAGGTTTGCCTCCTCTGGAGGAATGAGGACCACAAATGACACCCTAGTGTCAAGCATCACACTGAAGAATTCTCAGACATCAAACAAACTTTTGTTACAAATGCAATACACTGCTTCTCCAGGATCGAGTCCTGCTCACAGAATTACCCATACGGGAATTGCTCAGAGTCCTTTTCTCAAGATGGTAGAGAAGGGAGAAATGTGCTTTGAGGCTGTTTAATAGATTCCACAAAAACCACCTGACAGTTAAAATTACTTCAGTACAAAACAGCACAAGAAGCAAGAGTGAAAAAGCACAGCTTTCTAAATAAAATGAAAAGCCTACTTACCACATCAGCAGCATTTCTCTTCTGTAAAGAGGTAAAGATAAACATAAAAAGTAAGTATGTCGGTTGTATTTCAACAGCATGGTACATAGCAATTGTACATCATTTTACAGCTCAGAGCCCGACTACCCTGCAATTTGTCCTGCTGTTTGTGTTGCAGTTATCAAAGTTAAATTCATGTTATTCTACTGTCCCTTTGGATTGATGTAGGTAATCACACATGCCAGAAACCAAAACAAAGCAATGTGAGTGGAATTGCTAAAAAAAAAACCCAAACACTCAAAATTGATATGTTAGCTCCAGCTATGCCTGAAGTTATGGTTGCTAGCTGAACACAATGGAACAAATAGCCATAAAAAAGGACCAGATATACTTGCAATATACTATACATCATGTAGTTGACTGAGCGTAGTTGGGCTGTCAGTTCTGTTATTAATGGGGACTAGGTAAAAGTGGAAACAGAATGTTTCTGAATGTTTATGTGATTGAAAATGTTAGTTACTATGAAGCCACCATTAATAGGGGACTGGAAACTAGGAACAGACCAAAATGGGGGCTTAATAAAAAATGATGCCCAAAACAGTGCTGTGTGCTGCATAAACATCCAAACAGTATTTTAGGCCTCAAACTAATGAATATTGCTCTTCCACAAACTTTTTATTATCCAAAAACCTGCCAGAAAGGAAGATAATGTCCCGGAATGGCAGCTGCCAAGTCAGATAACCCAACCAAATTCACAACATGCATGTGGCTAGATGAGACGACGCACCAAGCCACAACTCATCTGCAGAAACAACATTCTGGTAGCCATTCTGAGCAGAAAACTGATAGCTTGGAGCACAGACTTCTGAATAGGACAGAATTCACCAGACCCATCAAACTAGAGGGAACAAATGGAACTAGACACAAAATGTCTCCTGAAACAGCATTCCAGTATCCATTCTGGGCAGAAAATCAATATTGCAAAAAAAAGGGAAAAAAAACAAAAAAACCCATCAAGGAATGTTTCGAATAGGCCAGCCCAACCAAACTGCCCCACTCCATTCAGTACCTGTTCTGGGCAGAAAATCAATACTGCAAAGAACAGTCTGAAACAGCAACTTCAAACTAGGACAGCCCAACCAAATCCATCTATCCTGTTGGAACAGAGGAGAGAGATGCAGCCAGGAAAAGCATTTGAGTACCCACTTCATGGAAAAACTTGATGTTTTCAAAAATATCCAGGAACAGTGACCTCCAAGTAAGGAAGGCCACTTGTTCCATCAGACTAAAGGGGACTGGAATATGTGCTTGTGGATATTCTGTAACTTCTTGCGTTGTCCCATTCAGTTATGTTTGACTGATGAATGTGGTCCCCTTGGCCTCCCCATAAACTGCTGCTTTGAGATGCTATACAGAAAACAGATTTTCAGCCCAGAACGGGAACCTTCAAATGGTTCCTGTGGATACTTTGTGGTTATTTAAGATTCACATGGTAGCTAAGGCCTACTCAGAAGTTGCAATTCCAGGGTACTTTCAGGAATGTAAAACTTTGGCCACGAAAAAAATGCCAGAATGTAGTATCCTTGGATGTTTTGTGGCTTGGTTATTAACTGTGATTGAGCCCTGTATGGATGGCAAATGAGGCTGCTTCTCCTACTTAGAAGTTACTGCTCTAAGCTGTTTTCTGAATACTGTATAGATTTATGTGACACAATGGATACTGGAATATAGTTCATGGAGATGGTTTGAGGCCTACATCATCAATCCCCTCTAGTCATGTGATCTAGCAAGTGATTCTTAATACGTTTGTTTACCATAACTGTTGACCTAATTGAATTTGTTCCCCTTATCAACATTAATATTTGACAATTTTGTCACTGGTAAAGCATATAACTACAATCCATGTTTCTGTGTGTGGACTGTAGTTCTTGTGAAAGGTTAGTGGTCTGGTGTATTGCTCCCATTCAGTCATAAGTGAATGGTGAATTAGTTGATGTCAGCAACTAAGCTGCTATTGATGGGCCATGGTAGAGGATGATTTGATTGTCAGGAACATAGAGCAGTGGTTCTTAACCTTGGGTTACCCAGGTGTTTTTGGACAGCAACTCCCAGAAGCCTTTACCACCAGCTGTGCTGGCTGGGGTTTCTGGGAGTTGCAGTTCAAAAGCACCAGGGTAACCCAAGGTTAAGAACTACTGACATAGAGCAAGGGGTCTGTGATGGTTGTGAGGACTGCATGGTGACTTGCCTGCCTGGGGAAATGGTTGCGGACATCAAATATCATCTGGATAGGCTCATAGAGTGTGATGGGGATGAGGCAGCAGTAGTGGTGTAAGTCAGCACCAACGACATGGGGAAATGTAGCTGCGAGGTCCTGGAGACCAAATTTAGGTTAGTAGGGAGGAAGCTCAAAGCCAGGTAGCATTGTCAGAAGTGCCACCAGTTCCACACACAGGGCCAGCTAGGCAGGTGGTGCTCAGGGGTCTCAATGCGCACTGGGGAGTGTTTTGGGACAAGCTGGGCTTATACAAGAGGGACAGGCTTCACCTGAACAAACACAGAACCAGACTGCTGACACATAACATTAAAAAGGTAGGCAGAAGCAGCTTTTAAACTGAATCCTGGGGGAAAGCCAACAGGAGCTGAGTGGTGTCCGGTTCGGAACACCTCACCTCTGTGGAATGAGGATGGACAGGATAGAAAACCACAAAGTGATGACAGTGTGTGGTACTCAGGACCTAGTGAGGGACATGAATGTCGATGAGCCGCTAAGGAATAGTGACCATGCTGCAATCTCTTTCGCCATACATGTTGGGGTGGGGGTGGGGAGAGAGTGTCAAGCAAATCTAACACAAAAACTCTTGATATCCAAAGGGTGGATTTCCCTCAGATGAGGAAACTAGTTGGAAAGAAGTTGAAAGGGAAGGTAAAAAGAATCCAATCTCTCCAGAGTTCAGGGAGCTTGTTTAAAACAATGGTAATAGAGATCCAGAGGAAGTGTATACCACAAAAAACACAAGCTCAACTAAGTCCAAGAGAGTGCTGGCATGGTTAATGAGCAGAGTTAGAGAGGCTTTAAAGGCAAGAAGGAGTCCTTCCGTAAATGGAAAGCCTTCCAAATGAGGAAAACAAAAGGAATACAAACTCTGGCAAAAGAAATGTAAGAAGATGATATGGGAGTCAAAGAAAGACTTTGAGGAATGTATGGCCAGCAATATAAAGGGGAATAGTAAAAGCTTCTTTAAATATGTTAGAAGCAACAAACCTGCCAGAGAAGAGGCTGGCCTTCTGGACGCTGAGGGAGGTAAAGGAGGACTTGGAGATTGCAAAGAAATTAAACAAGTTACAATATTTGCATCTGTCTTCATGACAGAAGATCTTGGGCAGATTCTACTGCCCAAATGGTGCCTCCTGACTAAATCAGATATAAGTTAGAAGAGAGGATGTTTTAGATCTAATTGATAAACTACTCAGAAGTCGCTATTTCAGGATGTTTACAAATATTGATTTTTCTGCCTGAAATGGGTACGTGAACATGGATTCCAGAGATTTTTTGGCTGGTTCTATTGGTTCACTCTAGCTGGATAGGGCAGCCTAATTTGGTTGGGCTGGCCTACTCAGAAGTTGCCATTCTGGGCTGTTTGTCACAATATCGATTTTCTGTCCACAACGGGTACTATAATGTTGTTCTGAGGGACATTTTGTGGCTAGTTCCATTTGTTTCCTCTAGTTGGATGGGGCTGGTGAATTTGATTAGGCTGTCCTACTCAGAAGGCTCTGCTTCAGGCTGTTTTGTTTGCTTGTTTGTTCTGGGTTTTTTTTTTAACAAAATCAATGTTCTGCCTGGAATGGGTACCAGAATCTTTTCTTCTGCAGATGATTTGTAGCTAGATGCATCAGTCTCATCTAACCACATGTGTGATGTGAATTCGGTTGGGTATTCCACTTTGAAGTTGCCATTCTGGGCCATTGTGTTCCATTCTTGTTGGTTTGGGGGTAATAAATTGTTAATGAAATATCAATATTCATTAGTTTGAAGTATAAAAACTGTTTGAATGTTTGCCCAGCACATCCCACTGTTTTTTGGCATCTTTTTTTAAATTAAGAAGTCCTTATTCCATTCTGTTCCACTTTTACCCAGTCCCCTGTTAATAGTGGCTTCATAGTAACTGTTTCCATCAGAAAAACATTCAGACTAGGACTGAATATGAGCGTGTAATTCCCTGCATTTCTGCAACAGAATTTTACCAGCAACCACAAGAGATTATCCTACACACCATTGCAGATCATATGCACACTGTTGAAACTGGGGGGGGGGGAATCAAGGCTCAATCATCTATAGGAGATTAAATAAAATTAAATTCAGAGAACAAATGAACAGCTCCTTGTGACCAAAAAATGGGGATATTGATGCATAGCACTCTTGTATCTTAAATTCCACTCCAAATAATTCCCACAGCATACTCTCACTTGCCCTCCTTCATATAGTGTATACCTGATAAATAATGAACTGAAATACCAGCTTTAATATTGTCAGATTCTACAAAACACAGATTTGCAGCACAGTTATATAAACTTCTTAAATCTAGTTACTGTATTTTTCCATGTGTAAAACAACACTTTCCCCTAAAATAATTAGAGGAAAAATTGAGGGTCATTTTATACATGGTGGTAAGGAGGGGGGAGGGATGAAAGCACTTTGATCCCTGCTTTCCCTCTCCACTTTTTGCAAAGAAAGTGGAGGGGAGAAACACCCCCTCCACTTTCTTTGCAAAACGTGGAGTGGGAAAGCACTTTGTTTGCAGGAAAGTGGAAGTGGAAAGTGTTTCCTTCTTTCCCCCTCCACTTTTTTGCAAGGAGAGTGCTTTCTCCCTCCACTTTCTTTGCAAAAAGCTGCTTTCCCCCTCCACTTTTTGCGAGGAGGAAAGCAGCTTTTTGCAAAGAAAGTGGAGGGGGAAAGCACTTCCTTCCCAAGAAAGTGGAGGGGGAAAGCAGGAATCAAAGCGCCTTGATCCCTGCCTTCCCCCGCCACTTTTTTGCAAAGAAAGAAATTTTGGATTAGAAAGGGGGGCATCTTATACATGGGGTCTTCTTATACCTGAAAAAATACAGTGATATGTATTTGGAAGAAGGACATCTCATTCTACATATTGGACTTACTCCTAAATAAACAGAGGTTGATTTTTGGGTGAAAAGCACAGAAAGAGAGTTGAAACTTTCAGAGGGTGACAGAATAGAGAATTAGAACTGCAGCATTAGCATACAATAGTTGTGATAAATCAATAATAAACCAATTTCTACAATTTATAGACATAACATGAAAAGCTATCATGAGCCATAACTAGGGGCATGGCTAGAGCTACCATAAATATTGAAAAGGCCACAGTAAGAAGTTGCATCCAGCAGCACCTGTCCACGTGTGAAATGTTAGTCCACCAATGGAATGGACATTGTAGGTAGAATGGATCTCCATCCTGTTTGCAACAGTTCACCTGCCTCCCTCCCCCATCTGCTTTAGAGAGTTCAGGAACTCTCTGAAAGACATTTGGCAGAAATGGTGTGGAGGAAAGAAAGGAAAAGAAAGTCACTTTATTTGAGTGGACATTCACTCTTGCAATTTTGGATGCAGCTAAAGTAGACTTTTATGTGACAGTTAAACATGAACATGAAAAAGATGCTTGAAAAAGTTCACGCAACCAAACCAATAGATAAAAATTAATTTTGTGCTCCATCCTGTATGGGGAAAGAAAACACATATGTATTTGAGATAATTCAAGAAACCATTTCCCACACGAACTACTATAAATCCCCTGATGTCCACTGATACAGTTTCTCTAGTAGTCAGAATTTTCATTGGAAGCAAGTTGCCACTAACTATAATAATCATCATCGTTATCTTGGAACTACAGAGCTGGAAAGGACCCTATGGATCATCATCAACCTCAGTACCTGTTAAGGAGGCATAGTGGGGAACTGAACTCCCACCCTCTGCATAAGCTACTGAGCTATCTGGCAATTCCTATGAAGGCCATGGGTAAACTACCATATAATTGTGACCACTGCCTCACTAACTAACAGCAATTTGCTACATTTACACAGTTTTACTTATGCATATATAAGTCACCAACAGGATTTTGATTGCTATTTCTGAAAAATGAAAATCACTTAATTTTACTTTAGCAACATACCTTGATGTTCCTCAGTTGTTCTATTAAAAAGTCTGAAGTTACAAAAGCAGGACTCAGTGCCAACAAAATATAAAAGAGCACATGCCTCCCCATGTTGAAAGCAAACTGAGATAGACGCCGCGAAAGGACTTGTATTTGTAATGACTCTTGAGAAGCTGCCAATCAGTGACCAGAAAGACAACATAGAATTGCCACACAAAAACATGGAAAACAACAAATATTTACCTTTGGATGTGATAAGGCTTCAAGAGAAAAGAGTTACGAAAAGCAATTAGGAAAGCTCTAGAGTCCAAGGCCAGAATCATTCTTTCTCTTCTGATATTCTGTACTTAACAAGAACAGGTTTTTGAAACCATGTACAATGCATTGCTTTTACATAAATGTGCATCAGCTTTGAAAAATTGTAGTGGACTAGTCTTGTGGCGCAGTGGTTAAACCGCTGTACTGCAGCCAAAACTGTGCTCATGACCCAGGGTTCAATCCCAGGTAGCCAGCTCAAGGTTGACTCAGCCTTCTATCTTTCCGAGGTCTGTAGAATGAGTACCCAGCTTGCTGCGGGGGGGGGGGGCAATGTGTAGCCTGCATAATTAACTTGTAAACTGCCCAGAGAGTGCTTGAAGTGCTAGGGGGCGGTATATAAGCAGCACACTTTGCTTTTGCTAGTCACTGGGCTTCCTTGGTAGTACTCTGACCACTAGGAGTTTCAGAATCCAGAAACATCTTGTTAAAGTATTAAGACTAAGTCAAGGATTAAATCTTATCATGTCATAATATAAATGGATGATAAAATAATTGGGTTCACATTTTAACACAATTGTGCAGTATATCTGTGAAGATTCTCACCCATCCAGGTGAGGTTATCTGGAAGCTGAGTCATGGTAACTGGACATCTTTCTTATTAGGTTGAGCTGCTTCTTGGACGAGTAGCACGAAATGTTTCAACTTAATAAGAAAGATGTCCAGTTGCCATCACTCAGCTTCCAGATAACCTCACCTGGATGGGTGAGAATCTTCACAGATATACTGTACAATTGCGTTAAAATGTGAACCAAATTATTTTATTGTCCATTTATTTTATATGATTTTAATCCTTGATTTAGTTTTAGTACTTCCCAGCACATGAAGTTCTTACAGAGGGACTGTCATCTGGCTGATTTAATTATGTGTATATTTCAGGTATCCATATATTAATGTATCTAGAAAGGTCAGTGTAAACATTAACAATTGCTCAGGTCTTAAAAGACATTTTTTAAAACTGTAGTGTTTGCATGATCAAAACCTCACCGTGTACAGATCTGACTGAAAAGTAAGTGTTCTGGTTCTTGTGAATATAGCCTGAAGTCCTTAGAAACTTGAACACCAATTTGTGAAACAGCTGATTTTTAATTAAAGTTGTACCACATACTTTTACATTTGATTTTCTTTCCTAATCACAACTACTGTACTTGCAATATAAGACAGCTGTTTTCTCTGCTAATAACAAGTTGTGGCAAGGCCTGTAAGTGTCCTGAAAGCCTCTAATATTCTTGTTAATGATGCTGGTTGTCTTTTTTACAGTTCTATCAATCCTATATTGTTGTTATATGACACATAGTTGCTTTTTACCTCTGACAGAGTTATCAATTAGAATCCAAAGGCTCATGTCATCAACAGCCTTGCTCAGGACATACAAACGGAAGACCACAGGGTCCTTTATTGAGCTGATACAACTCATGTTGCAGCTTCCCCTTTTCCAATTGCTTTACATTTTACCCAGCATTTGTTATCTTTTCTAGATACTGTACTGTAGTCTCAGGATCTATTCAAAGTACCACAGCTCCAGTTTAGTCATTTTCACATCTGCTAAGAGTTCAAGCTTCGTATAATTAAGAGTCAAACGGACTATATGTGTTTGTTTTTGTTTGGCATTTCATTATATTTATAAAGTTCTCTTCCAACATTACATTTTAATTAACTCCCCACACTGTCAGCTCTCTTTGCTGTTCAGCATTCACAGAGTCAGTGGCAATACCATATTGCTGATTTTGGCATTGGTTTCTAGCATCACACTCTTACACTTGAAGATCTTCTCTAGTTCCTTCATAGTTTCCTTTCCAAGTCTCATGATTTATTTGCAGTCTCCATCTGGATTGATGACTAAACCATGATGCAGAAAATTTGTAACTGTTTTAATTTCTTAGTTGTCAACATTAAACCTATATACTTCTGCATTTATGAGTTTTGTTTTCTTAATGTTCAACTGTAATCCTGCTTTTACGCTTTCTTCTTTAATCTTTGTAAATTTCAAATTGCTATATTCCACCACAGTATGTTTTTACCTGCATATCTTAGATTTATTGTTGTTTCCTCCACTTTTCATTCCTCTTTTAACTGAATGCAATTCTCTATATAAATTCAGCAACTGGGAGATAAAATGCAACACCTTTCTCAATAGGGAAATTATTAGGCTTTTCCATGAATACTGTCTTGAAATAGGGACCTTTCTTCCTTTTTTTGTTCTCTTCTTACTGGAGGTGGGATGTCATCATGACTATTTTGACTCTGACTGTGTCCACAAACCCACAACTGACAGAGTTTTTTCAGTCAGTTGAATGGCCAGCTGTAACAAGCTGTACCTCTTATTTGTTATTATGTGACCAGAATAGTCTAGCTTTTTGCATTGTGCATTTTATAAACATTTTATTCTTATTAATTAACCATAGTATATCTTCATTGGTCACTCTTGAAAAATTCAAGAAATTCTGAGCATTTTATGATATATTCACATTTTAAATATTTCTGTATTTTGTAGTGCGAAGCCAAAGGTTTGCTGAAGTATAAAAATTGTTTAAGGGAAAACCGAGACAATACAACATGGATTATAAATTAATGGACATCTAACGCTGACCGTTGTCAGGGAAGGAAAATAGGGGAATGAGATAATATTGAAAAAAGGAACAACTGTTCTGAGTTCGCATCCTGAATCTCCACACCGGAATATTGTTACAGTTTTTTCTTGTCTTTACTTAAATGTAAATATCCCAGTTAAAATAAGGGGTTGTTATATAAATTAGGTATATTTAATACTTAGAAAGTATGATGCACAAGTAATCAATCGTCTAATTCCTCGTAGTGATCATTTATAACTATATATTTTATCGGTTCAAATTGTACATCTGTGTATGAGGATAATAGTCGTAAATCGTGAGGCATCAGAGCACGATGTCAAGAAATAAAGAGGCAACCGCCTTTCCTGCATCTTGACATGACCAAGTTTACGGTTTTTAAAGGCAAAGTGAAAATTGCCCGCTGACGAAACTGTGAACGTTGGAAAAACATTGTCGCCGTCAAACCATCAGAGATACCTGAGGACTATAAACCATTCCCTCAGTAAAATCTCAATGGAGAAGCGAACGTGCCCACAACTAAAATGGCCGACACAGGTCAAGGGGTAGAAACAATACGCAACATGGTCGGCCGCAGACGTTTGCCCGTATCCAAGATGGTTGCTTAGGCAACTCACAAGGACTACCACAGACAGCGCGCCTTTTTTTGTAAATAATCCCCTGGAGGTGGTGCTTTCTGTAGCATCCGGAGGTTTAGTAAATCTCTATGGAACCGGCGACGGTGTTCTTGCGGCCGGCGGACCAGGGCCACTGCGGCCCCTTCGCCACAACGCAGAGCCAGTGGCTTGGTGGTAGGGCCGTGTGAGGGGGATGCCGCTGGGCGAGTACGCCTTCGTGCGAGCCGTGGGTAAGGGCAGCTACGGGGAAGTGAACCTAGTGCGGCACCGGCGTGACAACAAACAGGTAGCAAGGGCCGGGGAAAGGGGTGCCTGGGGAATGGGATGCAACCGGGGTGGGGGGAGAATGGGATGCCACGGAGAAGGAGTCACTCCTCATGCCCCCTTGGGGTATTCGTAGCCAAACCTGACGCTTTCGTTAAATTTATTTCTCTTCTAGGCAGTCGGGCTTTTTGGTGGGGGGGGGGGTCTTTGCTTTTTTGGACTACAGTTCCCAGAATTCCGCTCGCAGACGAGGGTATTCTGGGAGTTGCAGTTCTCCTATAGAACTTGCGGAAACTCTGACATGTAAGATTCAGCTGGGCGGTCTGAATCCCTGGCTTTGACTGTCTTGGCATCACTTTGAACCTGTGGTGGCATCAATGATGAATTCATTCCTTATATAAAAATGAGCGAGGTGATCCTTTGCACTTCATCTTATTTTGGAATGGAGAATATCCGCACTTTGCTGCTACTTGTTTCACTCCTACAGCCATGTCATTTCCTTTTTGTGTATATTTGATTTCTCCACATTTTTCCAGTCCCTACCTTTTGTGCTATGAAGCTTGGTTAACACCTTTGGAAACTGTTGCATTAGAAGATTTTCATCCTAGATATTCTGAGGCCAGAGAGATTTTGTTTGTTTGTTTGTTTGGCAGAAACACAACTATTGGATATTTACCAACCTACTTATGAAAACAAGACCTCTTGTCTAGAATGTCCAACCTAAGGAATGAAACATTCTTTCAGTTCTGAATTTCAGTGTGTGCTCCTGTAATTTTTTTACAGTGTGTTGACTTGTGTCTCACTATTATTTCGTACACCAGAACTGAAGCCGAAGAGATCGTTGGGCTATTATTCTAAGTTAGAATATTGCCACTGAGTTGCTGTATGTAGCCTTGATAATAGCAATAAGAAGACTTTGAAGCTTTGTCAGAAAGCAAGACTGCAGCATAAACAAAGTCTATTATCTATAAATATTCTTATAAATAATTCATAAATTGTGTATTAAGACTGTGTCTTATATTTGTAAATTGAATCATGTTCCATCCACTCCAACAAAAGAATTACATGCAGTTTGTCTCTGTTAAGAATTATCAACCTATAGCACATTAAAATGCTAAAGACGGGTTTTTATTCAGCAAAAACCTTTGTGGGCTGTGTCCCACTTTAGATGCATGGAGTATAGTCTTATTATCTGTACACATAGTCTGTTGTTTATAAGTATACGTAAGTTAGGAGCTAGTGCCTATAAATACAAATCTGATGTCTTAATTCTGATTTAGAGAAATAAGGCTGAAATCCTGTACACACTTAATCTTAGAACTACAAAGTTGGAAGGGACCCTATGGCTCATTGAGTCCCATCCCTGTCAAGAAGGTACAGTGGGGAATCAAACTCCCAACCTCTGACTGGCTCCGCAGCCACATGCCAAAACCATTGAGCTATCCAGCAGTTACACTGGGTGGGTGGCAAGTATTATTGAGCTCAAATGACCGATTCCTGAATAGGGATGGATAAGATTGCATTGAAAATTTGAAATGAGTTGGACAAAAACTTATTACAACTTGCTTTAAGTCCTACTCATTGCATGCGACTAGCATTCCTTGGATTGAGGCCAATATGAGAATAAAAGTTTCATTGAAATTAATAGGACTTCTGTTGAATAGGCTTGTGTGCTGGATTTTTGGATTTACTAGTACTGCTATTTCAGATCCATCTTTGTAATCTAATGTATTTTTGTTTAAATCCCTGCAGTATGTTATCAAAAAGCTGAACCTCAAACATGCATCGAGGCGTGAGAGAAAAGCAGCAGAACAAGAGGCCCAGCTGCTATCTCAGCTGAAGCATCCTAATATAGTCACCTACAGAGAATCCTGGGAAGGGGAAGATGGCATGTTATACATTGTCATGGGCTTCTGTGAAGGAGGGGATTTGTATCACAAGCTGAAAGAACAGAAGGGGCAACTTTTGCCTGAAAGCCAGGTTGTGGAATGGTTTGTTCAGATTGCTATGGCCCTGCAGGTAATGTATTTTGCATCATCTGCCTTAAAGCAGTTTTTTATCCTTAAATTAATTATTTTAATCTTTTCTTAGAATATTGACATGATGGATGCTGTTTTAGATTGTAATCCTGGCAGTTTTGCTACATGATAGATTAGTAGGAAAATATTTGATTGTTTGCTGTGCATGCTTCTGATTTTAAAAAAAGATTATGGCTTTAAGCTCTCTTCTCAAACAACTGCTGACCATTTATTGGTATTTATATATGAAAAAAGTTGGTCCAGTGTTTACAAATTATCATGATCCAGTCAGGACAGATTTGTTTAAGAAAGGATGAACATAATATAATGATTTTTCTGTGTGCAATAGTCCTGTAAAATAGAGACATATCAATGATGTTTTATTTTTCAGTATTTACACGAAAAGCACATTCTACACAGAGATCTCAAAACTCAGAATGTTTTCCTGACGCGTTCAAATATCATCAAAGTGGGAGATCTGGGAATAGCTAGAGTACTGGAAAATCAGTATGATATGGCTAGCACTCTCATTGGCACTCCATACTATATGAGCCCTGAGCTGTTCTCTAATAAGCCATATAATTATAAGGTAAAGTATATCATATGTATTAGCAAACTTGTTTTTCAGGCATCTGTCCTTATGTGACCGAAGTAACACCATCCACAAACTAGAGGGAGGTCTTGGCCTGCTCAGAGGAGGAGCAGAATCAGTGTCATGTGAGCAGAGGAGACAAAGAATCACTCTTTTCTGTTTTTTTAAATAAAGTATCTGACCTTTTTTAATTCCAAGTATCTGAACTTTTTCACTGCATTTCATCGAGTGACTTCTCCTTCCCAGTTCAAGGAAAGCAAGAAGCCTAAACTGCATAAGATATACTGTACAGTGGTGCCTCACTTAACGACGATAATCCATTCCAGGAAAATCGCGGTTAAGCGAAAACATTGTAAAGCGGAAAAAAAACCATTGAAACGCATTGAAACCCGTTCAATGCATTCCAGTGGGGTAAAAACTCACCGTCCAGCGAAGATCCTCCATAGGGCGGCCATTTTCGCTGCCTGTACAGCGAGGAATCTGTCCCTAAACACAGCGGGGAGCCATTTTATTTACCCGGTGGCCATTTTGAAATAGCCGATCAGCTGTTCTAAAAACGTCATTTTGCGAAGAATCAATTCCCGAAGCAGGGAACCGATCATCGCAAAGTGAAATTTCCCCATTCAGACCATCGTTTTGCAATCGCAAAAAGATTGTCATTAAGCGGTTTCGTCATAATGTGGGACAATTACGTAAAGTGAGGCATGACTACAATGAAAATGGAACATTGACTCTTTGTTGGAGGGGAAAATGGAAAACTATGGGGAAGACTGAGTGGAATAGAGAGTTCTGTAAGAAGGTGTGGCTGGTTTGGAACATCACATGGAAACAATTGTTGCTGACTTCAGTTGTTCATCATTGCTTACTCCTTCAGTAGCTGAAATCCAGTTTGGTTAGCAAAATTAGGCCTATGCACATTCTGGCTTGAAACGTGTGTGCACCTCATGGCGGGACTCTACTAGTTAGGAATTGATTGAAAGTTACAAATGCTCTTATGTTAAGCAACAGGATATTAGCCAGTATTAAAGGTGCATCTTTACACCGTTTCTAAAAATGGAAAGTGACAGTGTGTTTCTTAAAGATTCTTTTGACATTAATTACAGAAACTGCCTAAAAATGGAAAGTGACAGTGTGTTTCTTGTATAAGTGCTAAAAGATTCTTTTGACATTATTTGCAGAAACTGTCATTTCTTGTTTGATTCTGTTTGAAAGGGGTATAAGAACATACTGCTTATGATTCCTTTGCTTTGATTTTCACAGTCTGATGTATGGGCATTAGGTTGTTGTGCCTATGAACTAGCCACTTTGAAGCACGCTTTCAACGCTAGAGACATGAACTCCTTAGTTTATCGAATTATTGAAGGAAAGGTACGTTTTCCATATACTTTTTTTGGTTTCCTAATTATGGTCCCAATACTGGTTCATTTTGTACTGAGAACACGCACTGAGCTTGACATGTTTTACTACTTCCCTTCTTTATTCTATGCGAGAGGAAACTGTGTGCAGAACAGACATTTTCTTATCTAAGGGCATATTAAATAGTATGTTGCTGGGAAGTACTGTAAATATGAAATCCCTGGCCACAATCCTGAGATCTGCCACAGTACCTTAATTTTTCCATGGGCAGAACCCTTTTAGTGTGGTTCATGCAAGTCCTTGCCCAATGCTAACTTTTAAAGTAATTGTGACAGTTGCTGAAAAATTGTATTTAGTATTAGGCCTGGTTTTTTTCTTTTTTCACTTTTTTTAAATAGGAAAGTAAATGTAAAAAATATTTACAGTACAGAGGATGATACCAACAAGGAAAGATTTTCATTAATCTGAACCAAAGTATAAAGGCCTGATCTTTTCTGGGTAGGATGATGGTGGCTGAGGGCACGCAGATATTGGTTAGTGTGAGTAGCCTTTCTATAGACTTTGTGTCAGATATAGAGTCTTTAGATGATGAGCTCCAATTGTTATGGTCCATCTTTAGAGAAAACAGATATTTCACTAGGGAATATCCATTAATTGGATAATATTAATTGGGTGCTGGATTATAACAACAGAAAAGGGATGATGATGAAGCAATAAAAGGAGTTGTCATTCTTCCTTTTTACAGACAAGTTTCAGCAAAAATAGGAAGATTGGCTCACAAGCTTCATTTTAAAAACCTGTTTTCCATCCTATTAACAAAACCAAACAAATGGTTTGCCCAGTTAAAGACCATCTGAGGCTCAAGGTTCTGGGCATTTATTGAGCAACATGTTGCTGTGGTCAAGCTTATATCGGCCAGGCTGGAATATCTATTACAGAGAGAGCATCAGAACCAGGCCTTCTCGGCATTGGCCCCTCGCCTCTGGAACAACTTGCCCGTAGAGATCAGCCTGGCTCCCTCTCTGGGTGTCTTTAGAAGTAAACTAAAGGCATGGTTATTTTGGCAGGCTTTGCCTCCTGCTGTATTTTAATATCTATATTTTTACATCTTGGATTTTTACATGTTATTGGTTTTATAGTTTTTAAATTTTGTTATGCCGCCCAGAGTAGACTATCTGTCTAGATGGGTGGGGTATAAACCTAAGAAAATAAATAAATAAAATAAAAGAACATTCACAATATATTAGATTACAACAGCTTGAAAAATCTGGACTGGCTGAGCATTGTTTCAAATATGGTCATCAGCCCCAATGGAATGGGGTACAAGTATTGACTCAAACCAGTCAAATTTGGGATAGAATTATTTTTGAGGCTCTCTTGATAAAACTTGAGTCACATTCCTTCAACACAGATAGTGGCATTACTTTTAGTGCTTGCTGGATGCTTTTGTTTTGTAAATTGGGTAGACTTGGCAGGTTGCCCTTATATAATGCTGGCCAATGTGGGGGACTGGCTCTTTAATGTTAATCTGCCTGGGTCCACCCAGCTAGTTTTGATTGTACAGTATCTAGACCCTGGGTCCACCCAGCTAGTTTTGATTGTATCTGGACATATTTAAGGTTAGCTTTGTTTGAGTTGATATCTTGCCTTCCCTGATGAAAATGGCACAGGATATTGCCATTGAAAGCTTGGACTATTTTTAAAATAAACATGAATTGACATGACTGGAAACCTGTATGGACTGGACTATTTTAACAATAAACATGAATTGACATAACTGGAAACCTGAGAGCTGTTTCCATTACAGTATATCTGTTTTTTCTTCTCTTCACAGCTGCCACCGATGCCAAAAGATTACAGCATTCCATTGAAAGAGCTAATAAAAACTATGCTTAGTAAAAAGCCAGAGGACAGACCCAGTGTGAGAAGCATACTGAGGCAACCATCTATTTTAACAATAAACATGAATTGACATAACTGGAAACCTGAGAGCTGTTTCCATTACAGTATATCTGTTTTTTCTTCTCTTCACAGCTGCCACCGATGCCAAAAGATTACAGCATTCCATTGAAAGAGCTAATAAAAACTATGCTTAGTAAAAAGCCAGAGGACAGACCCAGTGTGAGAAGCATACTGAGGCAACCATATATCAAACATCAAATATCTTTGTTTTTAGAAGCTACAAAAGCGTAAGACACATTTAAATGAGAAATATTTTTGAAATAGTGTTTAAAATAATTGTTGACGTTACTATTTTGGTTGTGTTTTGCTTTCTTGGTCTTCATAATAAGTAATAATTCATTATGATGATTTCATTATACCCCTTCCTCCAATTTAATGTAATTCATATCAAACATCAAATATCTTTGTTTTTAGAAGCTACAAAAGCGTAAGACACATTTAAATGAGAAATATTTTTGAAATAGTGTTTAAAATAATTGTTGACGTTACTATTTTGGTTGTGTTTTGCTTTCTTGGTCTTCATAATAAGTAATAATTCATTATGATGATTTCATTATACCCCTTCCTCCAATTTAATGTAATTCAGACGATGATATGATGATTTCATTATACCCCTTCCTCCAGTTTAATTTAGTGTAATTCAAGACGATGAAGCCCTCAGTAATGCTTGTCTGATCCAAAGTCAGAGGCAATGTGAAGTACAGATGGATAAAATAAACCCCATTTTTTGTGTGTGGGCCAAGATTTTAGAAAGAACTCTAAATCTTTGCATAGCAAACTTGGATAGCTTCACATTCATACAAACAGTACTGTCTGAGGTCTTCACATATTTTAACCTTTATATTTTCTTCCTTTTGCCATAAAAAGAAAAACATCAAAAAGTCGTAACAGATTATCTGAACACAATCCTCAGAATGAAGTGAAAAATGGAACTACAATACCCCAGAAGCTTTGTAATGAACATCCCAGGAAATCTAAAGTGGTATGTGTATACTTTAGTTCTGTAGCGAATCACTTTGTCATTAGAAGTATACATTTATTTTGTTAATAGAAAAATAGATGAAGGAATTGGCTAAAATCCTGTTGTGCACTTATGCAAAAGACATAACTTTTAAAAACAAATTGCTGCAAGTTAAGAAATCTCTGTAGATATTATTTCTCATAAATTGTATGTTAATCATTCAATCAAATATTTATCATTCTGCCATCTGAGGATGCCAAATGTGTCCAGCAGCTGCATAGCATATGAATATCCATTTTGATGTCCACAGAACAGACACTAGGCGGCCATTTTGTCCGCCGAACAGCTGATCGTCGGAGCTTCGTTTTGCGAAGATCGGTAAGCGAAACGCTTACCGATCTTCGCAAAGCGAATTTCGCTCTATCTAAAGCTCTTTGAGCGATCGCATTAGCGATCCCAAAAAAGGGATCGCTGTGCGATTTTGTTGTTGTACGGTGCGCTCGTTAAGCGAGGCACCACTGTACATCTTTTGGCTAATGCCACCGTAACCATCAGGGTTGGAGCTTGTGATGATGACCCCCTGATATGTGAAGGGGAATGTAGCTGGTAACAGTGAGATGTTTCCGTGATGTTGGTGTGACATTGCCAGAGTGTTGATAGGGCTCCAGTGCCATACTATATATACCCCACACTACTGTGCCCGTCTAGCAGCTGAAGTGGTGTACTCCATAGGGGCAGAGACTGGGAAGCAGAGACAGGAGATTGAACTGATAACCCTTATATTAATGAAAAACACCCTTGAAATTTAGAAAAGCATCTTTGGAACCTCCACGCTCATGTTTTGGTCATGTAATACATTGTTTTGGAGTCTTGTGCTTATACTGTATTTAAAATGAAATTATCAATGGATTCAATAAATTATGAATGTGTGTTTTTTAATTACAGAATGAAGAGAAACATTTCATCAATAATAAAACTTTTGAAGTCTCTTCCACAGACAAACAGGCATCTGAGCCTGAAAAAAGTGTGAACAAAAATGGATTGAACAGCACAGGTGTATCTATGGCAACTGTGAGCAAAGTGGACATAGTTATTGTTCCACTGGAAAAGAGGAATAGTAACAGTGAACTTCCTCTGGAGGATAAAAAAGCCAGGAAGTCAAGTACTACCAGTGAAGGAGAGGCTGAAACACCAGTAGTTGGCCCACCCTTGAAGGAAGAAGGGTTGCACAGAGTCACAAAGCCACGCTTGAAAACAGAATGTACCAGTAGCAAGGATGTGGTTGTCTGTACCACTGGTGGTGGCGACAGCACTTTGAATCTTCTTCAGCCTGTTTCTGAAACTCCAAGCACAAGTGATAATGTAATTATTTTCTCTTTTATATAGAAGAATCTGGTAAACAGCACAAAGCTGAAAATAGGACTGGGCTGTTATGATTCATCACGTGTTGCATCAGTAGTTAGTGGCATTGGGCTTGTATCTGAAACTGATTGTGGGCATTGTTGTATCATTGTCATAGCTATGTTGATAGACAGTTTTTACAAGAAAAAAAGGCTCTTGTATAACACAGTTGGAGGAGGTAGGACTGAGGATGAAGTTTTGGTGATCATGACTTCAGTTTCACTGCTTTTACAATGCAATTTCTGTTAATATGATTGACATATATATTGCTAAATGCAATTTTCCTGCAGTAATACATGGGTAATAATTCTGATCCTGAACTATACCATAGTTCTGCTTCCATAAAAGGTTTTGGCTGGAGCAATATGCAGTTTATTTTTCATTGTTTGTATTTGATTTACCTTCCAAACCCTTTATTCCTTAGCTTCTCTACCTTCCAAGCTTCTTTATACTGAACTTTATTGTTTGCCTGCCTAAAATCACATATGCATGTTGTTTGTATGTGATGTATCCCGAGGCCCTGTGTGAGATCTCTCATTGACTTCTGATAGTACATGATTAGTGGACCATGACTTTGACAGCTTTTGGGTAACTAGCCTTATCAATGGTTTAAGGTCCAAGCAGGATGCTCCCTGCACAGAGCATACTCAGTCCCAGCTAGCCCCTTCAGATTTTGTTTTATTGTAATGGGTATTTTGCTCTTTAGATTTGCTGGTACAGTGGTACCCCACTTAACGATTACCCTGCTTGATGATGAATCTGCTTCATGACAGTGTTTTTGCGATCGCTATTGCAATCGCAAAACGATGTTTTAATGGGCAAAATCTGCTTTGCGATGATTGGTTCCCTGCTTCGGGAACTGATTCTTCGCATTACGACAATCAAAACAGCTGATTGTCGGGTTTTCAAAATAGCTGCTGATTGTTCAAAATGGCTCCTTGCTGTGTTCAGGACGGATTTTTCACTGCACAGGCATCGGAAAATGGCCGCTCTATGGAGGATCTTCACTATACGCTGAGGTACTTCGCCCATTGGAACGCATTGAACCGGTTTTCAATGCATTTCAGTGGCCTTTTTTATTTCGCTTGACAAGGATTTCGCTTAACAGCGATTTTCCTGGAACGGATTATCCTCATCAAGCGAGGCACCACTGTATTTACAAAATACTGTACTCACTGGTTTGATAGATGGAGGTTAATGAAAATGCAGTAAACTCTCTTTCCAGAACCTGGATGCTACTGAGGAACCGCTAGCACCATTTGTTCCGGTAGAAATTATGGTAAGTGTTTAGACCTTGTGGATATTGCAAAGCATGTGAATTGAACTCGAACCTTTCTGTAAGGAAGTGTTCCATAAATGAACTTTAAATGCCTATTGTCTCTGACTCCTGGACAAATGCTACAGCACGAAGTTACATCCCTGTAATATATAAGTGTGTGCCTTTCATAAATGACCTCCACAGCCCATTTTAGAGTAAAGAAGAGAAGAGAGTAAAGAAGGAATACAGAGTAGCTGCCAAGGCAAAATCAGTTGGAGGTGTGTTGCCAAGGTTTTTTTGTTTTAATTTTTAATATACTTGTTGCAGGCTAGCCTGGCTGATGAAATACCCCATTGTAGAATCTAAACATTAGATAGAAATACACTATAAGGATTGAACAGTTGTATCGTTGTAAGTTTTCTTTTTTTATTATTATAGCAACTGTGTTCTAAACTGATTATTGTGTGGAGTGTTGTTGCTGTTGAGAAATATTTACAGTACTTGCTATAGGTAACATTTTGTCATTTCTTTTAAACTCTACAGAGGTTCACAAAGCTTGTGATTAGGTTGTTTTGGCATACAACTTTGAGTAGCAAACATCTTTGCTATAACAAACTGCTTAGCACTTTCCATCGTTTTTAAAGCCTAAATCCAGTTGTTAGTTCTAAATGGAGTCCACTCATCAAATCCAGTGATGGTGTAGCAAGTTTCAGCGATTCAATGAATCTTTTGTATTTGGGACTAACAATTGGATTTAAGTCTAAATTGGTTAAAATGTTTCAGTTAATCAGACAAAAAAAAAGAAAAAAGCATTGTGGCAACTTAAAGACTAACTGCTATATTTTAATGTGCGCTTTCATGGACACATCCACGTTCTCAGACATAAGAGTGGGTCTACATGGAAAATATGTATACAGTAGTACCTTGGTTTACGAAATTAATGCGTTCTGCAGGACATTATGTAAAGTGAAAAATCTGTACACCGAAACACGGATTGCTATAGGAACGGGGGTGGCGCTATAAACCTCCAGGCACAATGCTTCCTGGGGAAACATTCTTTGTAAACCGAAACAAAAAGTGGCGCTATAAACCTCCAGGCACAATGCTTTCTGGGGAAACATTCTTTGTAAACCAAACCAAAAACAAAAAATACAGTAATCCGAGACATTATTTTCAATAGATTTCCGTTTGTACTACTGTACATGGCCCAACCGAGACATTATTTTCAATAGATTTCCATTTGTACTACTGTACATGGCCCAGAATCAGAGATTTCAGATTTTATTTAAGTTTTACTAAATTTAATTGAAAACCCTATAATTTGTATTGTACAGAACAATTGCCTGTTGTGACACAATGATTGAGAAAGCAAACTATAAATCAGGAAGTTGTTGGTTCATGTCTAGATGGAAGCTTTCTCAGTGGTCTTAGGCAAGACCCTCTATTTCAGCCTCTTACAGGGAAACACAAGGAGACTCCTATTAAATTTTTGATTTTGTATACTGCTCTTGGAAAAGACTTGGGTTTCTGCAGGATTTTCATGTAGACTATTGACTACATAGATGAACGTTGTGGTCTTAGCTATGATAAGAGTAAGTGAGTGGTATTTATGGGCTCTTCGCTCGGTTAAGGCATGTGTATCAAACATGGAGGTCATATGTTCAAATGCTATAAAGATTTTATGTTAATTCTTCATGACACAGTGGTTAAATTGCCGTACTGCAGTCAAGTTTATGCTCATGACCTGAGTTTGACCTTGACGGACTCAAGTAGCTTGACTCAGCCTTCTGTCATTCCAAGTTTGGTGAATTGATTAACCACCTCACTGGGGGGAGGGACAATGTATCACCTGTGTAATTAAAATGCAAATTGCCCAGAGAGTGCTTTAAACTCTATGGGGAAGTATATAAGCAACACACTTTGCTTTTCTTAGGATGAAGCTTCTTGTGCAAACCCTGACGAAAGTAAAGATGAAATTCAGAATGAACATGCTCCTTGTTTTCAGCCTCAAGGATCTGTTCATGAGCCTTCCTTGTCACAACAGCGAAGGCAGAAGAGAAGAGAACAATTTGAGGTTTGTTTAGAAAGTATGAAAATTAAGAGAAAATATTTTCTTAAAATGCAGTGATGATTTATGTGACATTGATCTATTTAGTTTCATCTTTAGTTTTACAGAGTATGTAAGGTGAACTAGTTATGCTCATTTTTTAAAAACAAAATAGTTTCTGATTTTTCTAGAATTGTTTCTGTAAACTACTGGGTGAGAGAACCTGCATACTCCTAATATGTAGTGAAAAAAACACTATTTTTTATTTAGATAATATATTATTTAGATAATATATAGTGTAACATGTATATGATGTACTGTACAGAATTATATTGTTGCTATAGGAAAGGCAGAATGGGATGATTTTCTTGGTTAGTGATGCAGTTTTGGTAATATAAATAAAAGTAGGGTCTAAAGCAATCCTTATATTCAGCCTTGAAAGAACATGTTTTTATAGCTAGCTTTCTGGCAGAAGAAATAATCTCATACAGGTTTGATTTCCCCCCCTCCCCTTTTAAGGCTCTTCGAAGGCTTCCTTCTCCTCCTGATGTGAATTCAAAGAAAGAAGAAGAAAGCATATGCAAACAAAAGGCTGTGAAGAAATCTAGAAGCACTGAAGTAGCTGTTTCTAAGGTTTGTTCTGGACATTTATTTACATGTTTATGTAAAGTATCTCAATTTTATTATGTTTTGTTGAAGTGTGATTCATTTTGCCCTGTAGCACCAGAAAACCTCTATCTCAGATTTGAGGGTGGAGGTGCCATCAGAAGACTCGTTCAGTAGTTTGATGGGAGGTAATTCTTTCCTTGTTGGGCTTTCTCAGCCTTGTAATACGTTAGCAGAACATATATTAAGAACCTTGGAAACTTAAGTGTTCAGTTATGGTAATGTTTCCTTGTATAAAGTATTTTCTGGATGAATATACAAAGCTGTGGACTTTACTGTTGATACTTTATTTTAAAGGATCGGCCATTGTCAGCACGAGAGAGGAGGAGACTGAAGCAATCCCAGGAAGACATGCTTCCTTTAGGTACCTGGCTCCTTTGCCCCGATTCCTTAACTTGTAATGTGATTACTTTGATATAACATGTTTTTAATTAAAATTATTCTCCAAAAAGAACCTTAATATGTTATCATGTGATTGAGACAATCTTCCCCAAACCAACCAGCCAACCACTTTAGTCTTGAGCATGGCTTGTGTTTGGGCTTGAAAATGACTTGCAGCTTATTTATATATCTCTCAAGTCCCCGCCAGGACCCCATCCTGACTTTCACTCCTGAAAAGCATCAAAACTGGCTCCAGAAAAGAGCTCCAGCATGACACCCAGACAGTTTTTTCTGTGTTTGGAGAAAAAAGAAGCCTGGGATCGTAGTACTTGTCTCCTCAGCTTAGATATACTTAACAACCTTTTCTCTTGTGGCTTCCAAATTGTTTAATCCCCTTTCCTTTGAGGTTCTGTTGTCCATATTTCTTTACTCTTTTAAAAAAGAGTATGAACTAAGATTCCCCCCCTCTAGGCTTCCAAAATTGTTGTTTTTATGACTATATATCTTATTGTGGATGCACTATTTTATTATCATAATTTTGAGTTTTGCATTGCAATTGTATATGCACTACCTTGAGGTACTATATGAACGAAAGAAACTTTAGATGTGAACTTTTAAGTGACAGAAGGAAATACATGTTTGCATTTTGCCAGGATATCTCATGTCTATAGTTCTTACTGTGCTGGTAGACTGGCTGTCTGTTTATTTAATTGTATCCCACCTTTCTTCTTTGAAGGTCCATGGTAGCTTGCTTGTGAAGTTATTTATTTTATCTTGTTTAAAAAGAAACATCTTTACCTGTTGCCAGGAGGAGGGAGACCATCTCTGTGACTGCTGTGAGAGCAGTCACAGAGAAGGCCCTCTCGCATATTTCCATCAGGCATGCAGAGATAAATTAAGAGAAGGGCCTCCATGGAAGATCTTAGGAGCCAAGAAGCCTTCAGCTAGCCTGAACCAAGCTGCTAAGGGCTCCATAGGTGATAATCAGCACTTTGAATTGGGCCTCGAAACAGCCAGTGAAGCTGCTGTAACAAGGGAGTTGCGCCCCTCTCCTAATCAGTCCGGGTCAACAGCCTGGCTGCAGCATTTTGAATCAGTTGAAGTTTTGGAAACATATTTAAAGGCACACAAAGTGTATGTTACAATAATCCAAACAGGATGTAGCACAGACATGTGCCGCCATAGCCAAACCAGACACTTCAAGGAAAGGGTGTAGCTGGTACCAATTTTAACTGTGCAAATGAGCTCCTGGTACACTCAAGACCTGGTTGAGGAGTATGCCCAAAATGTGAAGTTCAGTTTCCAAGGGGAGTGTAATGTTGCCAAGCACACTTTAACTCCCTGTTGCCTGATCTGCTTTACAATGTATATTTTAAAAGCAAATTCACCCAAAAAGCATATTAAATTACAATATTAAAACGGTATGAAATAAATTATCATATACACAATTGATATCGTTTAAAACCACTAACATTTTTTAAAGTAACAGCAGCAGCAAAACAGCATCCACCATGAAGATGTCCTGATCAATAGCCAAAAGCTTGGTCATATAAAAACAACTTCTCTACTAGCAGAAGAAGAACAATGAGAGGGCCAACCTAACCTCCCTCAGAAGGGAGTTCCATCACCTGGAATTAATAATAAATTGTATATACATTTAATTTATCTCTTTTCAGGGCCTGCAGCAAGACAGAAATCTCAATATGCAGCAGCTGAAACAAAATTGCCAGATCACTATATTGAAATGGCTCAGTTTTCCTCAGAGGCCAAGGTAAGTAAATGTTCTATGTTAATTATGCCTGAAAGCAGAATAATTTATCCAAAGTCTGAAAGAAGGACTACTTTGCTTTAATAATTCATATGCTGGAAGCATTCCCTTTAAACCATTTCAACATATTTAATTAGGAGCACTTCTTAAAAGAAGAGAGCTGATTAAGAAGTACTGCCTATAATTTCATCATCTATGGCTTTTAGAGGATTTTTGAATTGTACTCATTAGTAATCATGTGCTGTCAAGTTGTTTCTGACTTATAGCAAGCTAGATGGGATTTCCCAGTCATAAGGTATTCTGAAGTGGTTTACCAACCTGTCCTTCTGGGGCCACTGTGGACCGCACAGCTTGTCCAAGGCCTCAACACATTGCAAAGCCTTCAAACCTTATTGGCCCTACATGTTCCATGTGATCTCAGCAGGCCATGTTCCAGAAGACACAGTGAGGATTTGAATTCCCAACCCATGGCTCTGCAGCCAGGGGCTCTAACCTATTGAACTACATCAATTTCTAATGTTATTAACTATTTGATTCACTTTTTCAAAACCTGAGAGAGAGAAAATCCTGACAGACATAAATATGTACATGTGCATATATGACATAAGACACAGTCAGCATTTAAGATGATACAAGGCAATCCTCTTCTTTCTCTGAAAAGAAGCAGGCTTTACTGCATGGTAACAGAGAATTAGAACTAGAATTAGAATAGTTGCCTAGACAAACAAAGCAGGATGATATTTTAACAGCATTTTGCTTCCAAATACTGCTTTGTGAAAATGGATTTTGTTATTAGCAGTTATGTATGGGCCTGGTTCATAGAAATTGTCCCTTCTCTACCAAATGGTTGAGTTGTAAAAAGATATGCATATCTGTGAGCTGTGTGCAAGGGGCAGTGTTAGTGGGCTGTGCTGGCTCTGTTTTGTCCTTATTTTCTAGTTTGAAATACTGTTTTGTTTTCAGCAGAAAAAGAGTGCTTTCTCAACTGAAGATCTTAGCTCCTCCACCAGCTCTACAGAGAGGTCAGATGGAGACTGTAAAGAAGGGTAAATCTTCTTTCAAAATCTACCTTTACAAAACATCAAAGCAAAGATGGGCAAGTTCCAAGCACCAGTTTGACCCTGGGTCTTAGGCTGCCGACTGCATCTCATTTGAAACTGCTGTTTTCTCCAGCTTTTTTTTTTCAAAACTGGAAATGAGCAGATGTTCACTCTCACTTTTGAAATTAGTACAAATACACACAAACTTTCTAGAGCAAGATCCCATGTTCATTTCCTGTCTTGCCTCACTGTTTAGTCGATAAATCGTGTCCGGCTCTTGATGACCCTATGGACCAGAGCACGCCAGGCCCTCCTGTCCTCCACTGCCTCCCAGAAAGTTAGGTAAATATAAAGATGAACAACACATGACATATTACACCTTATAATTCAGTAGCTTGTAGAACCATCTGTAGCAGCAATAACTTGAAGTAATTGTTTTCTGCATGGCTTTATCAGGCTTGCACATTGTTGTGGAAGAATTTTAGCCCACTCTGCTTTACAACATTGCTTCAGTTCATTGAGGTTTGTGCGTATTTGATATGCACAGCTATTTTAAAGTCTCGCCATAGCATTTCAGTTGGGTTGAGGTCTGTACTTTGACTGGGCCATTGCAACACCTTTATCTTTTCTTTTTCATCCATTCTGATGTGGATTTGCTGGCGTGCTTGGGATCATTGTCCTGTTGAATGACCCAGTTTCGGCCAAGCTTTAGCTGTCAGACAGATGGCCTCATATTTGACTCTAGGATACTTTGGTATACAGAGAAGTTCATAATTGACCCAATAACTGCAAGGTGCCCAAGTCTTTTGGCTGCAAAACAAGCCCAAATCATTACCCGTCCACCATTGTGCTTGAAAGTTGGTATGAGGTGTTCATGTTGATATGATGTGTTTGGTTTTCACCAAATGTAGCTCTGTGCATTATGGCCAAACATCTCTGCTTTGGTCTCGTCTGTCTAAAGAACATTGTTCCAGAAGTCTTGTGGTTTGTCCAGATGCAACTTGGCAAACCTAAGCCATGCTGACATGTTCTTTTTAGAGAAAAGAGGCTTTGTCCTGGCAACCCTTCTAAACAAACCACACTTATTCAGTCTTTTTCTAATTGTACTGTCATTAACTTTAGGGACATTGCATGGTAAATCAACCAATGCATGGAACCTTGATGTCATGGATATGGTTCATTTTTGTACATTTGTACCTTACCATGAGATGTTTAAAAAAAAGTTTTTTCCTGATTTTTTGGTCCACCCATTTCTGAGATACTGCATTTTCAAAATTGCAAAAAAATGCCGGAATTCACTAGCCACCATAACTTCAGGTGTCATTTAATAGATACCTATGATAGCTACAGACCTGACACAGGTGTCATTTTAAACCTTATGAATAGAGGGTTCATTTGATATACAACATGATGCAATTGTACATTTTCAAAGAGTTTACACATTTAAAAATTTAAAATTTGAATTTTCAGGAAAATTGAATTTTCAGGAAAATTGAATTTTTTAAAGTTTTCAAAAAAATTCACACTTAAAGCTACATGTCTTGTAGCCAGTCAATCCAAATTTCAGACTGGTATCTCAGTGGTATCATACAAAACTTAATTCTTCTTGTTGGCAGTGACAAGGATTTAAATTGACTTGGCCCCCAAAATAGACCAAAATTTCTATACCTAATGATTAAGAACCTCTTTTTTCTTGGCTATCATGTTAGATGTTTTTGTCATCTCCTGTGGAATTAGCTGATATGTTCTCCCTGTAGCTGTAATTGGATCCAGTTTGCAAAGAATGAAGTTTCCTGGCACTGTAAGAACATCCAGTTTCCTAGGATAAGAGAATGATGTTGCTGGTCCAACTGGATGTTAGAATGATAGCTTGACTTCATGTTCTGCAGCATCCATTGAAAAAACACATCCCATCCACCATGAGTTGTCATAGGCACATGCTACAAAACCATTCAAATGATCAAAATCACCACACTGATTTCCAAGGCATTAAAGCTGAGTGGCATTTTTATGCCACTGCACATGACAAAGAAGCTTGTGATAGTGTTTGAGGTACAGTGAAAAGACTTGCAGCAAAGGCCAGCCTTCAAAAAACCCCTCTCAAATCAGATAATGATACGCCAACAGTTGCTTGAGTGGGGGAAGGCCAACATCCCTGCAATAGGTTTTTTTATATTACAAATGATGAATACCTGGAAGAGGAGAGATTTTTAAAAGTATGATTTGATGAAGCAGTTCCTGTTACAGGAACTCAGAAGTGTCATGCCTCCCTCCCAGTATCAACTGAAAAATTAGAGATCAAAGTATTTTCAGCTTCTCATTATTCTGTTTTACATTGTATTAAAGTCACTCCCGAACTTCAAGATGTAGATTTTGATCATTTGAATTTAAAATGACAACTGTCCCAAGTCTGTAGCTATCACATTTGAAGTTATGGTGGCTAGTGAATTTTGGCATTTTTTTGCAATTTGGAAAATGCTATATCTCAGAAACAGGTGGACCAAAAAATCTGCAATTTTTTTTAAAAAATATCTCATGGAAAGGTGGTGGTTGTTTAGTCATTAAGTCATGTCTGACTCTTCGTGACCCCATGGACCAGAGCACGCCAGGCCCTCCTGTCTTTCATTGTCTCCCGGAGTTTGATCAAATTCGAGTTGGTAGCTTCAATGACATTGTCCATTCTCCATCGTCCCCTTCTCCTCTTGCCCTCACACTTTCCCAACATCAGGGTCTTTTCTATGGAGTCTTCTCATGAGATGGTCAAAGTATTGGAGCCTCAGCTTCAGGATCTGTCCTTCCAGTGAGCACTCAGGGTTGATTTCCTTTAGAATGGATAGGTTTGTTCTTGCAGTTCAGGAGACTCTCAAGAGTCTCCTCCAGCACCACAATTCTTCAGCAGTCAGCCTTCTTTATGGTCTAGCTCTCACTTCCATACATCGCTACTGGAAAAACCATGGTAAGGTACAAATGTACCAAACAACAACAACAACAAAATCCATGACATCAAGTTCCAAAATTGATTTTTTTCATTGGTTGATTTGACATGGAATGACCCTTTAATATTTAACATGCTGAACCCTGTAGAGTCTGAGATGTAACTGTGGTTTTTTCAGTTTCTCTGACTTTAGGGTGAATTTCTTGGACATCCACTCCTAGGAAGATTGGCAATTTCCTTGAATGTTTTCCACTTGTAAATAATATTCCTTGCTGTAAAATGATGTGTTTTAAATTGTTTGGAAATGGTCTTCTAACCCTTCCCAGATTGGTGGGCAGCAACAATTGCTTCTCTGTGGTCATTGCTGATGTTTTTCCTCCTTGGCATTGTGTTAACCCACACCTGAATGCTCCAGGCCAGCAAGCTGGTAAAGTTTCAGCTTTTATAGAAGTGGTCACACTTGCTGGTGATTACTCAATGGCATTTGGTTAGCAGCACCTGGTTGCTACGTAGCTTCTTAATTCCTATGGAAGCAGTAGGGTGTACTTAGTTTTTCACACATGGCTTTTTCATTTCGGCTTTATTTTTGTAAAATAAATCCTGACACGGTGTAATATGTGATGTGTTGTTGTTCATCTGAGGTTGTACTTACCTAAATTTCACACCTGCTGAGGAGCAGGTGATTTTTATTATGCCCTGATACGTAAAATTATAGAATTCAAAGAGGGTGTACTTGCTTTTTCACATGACTATGTTTTTACTTTATCTTAATTAACTTAATGGAGCTCAAAACCCCTGCCCCTCCTCTACTTTAGAAAGCTTTATCATTTGGGAATTCCTAGTCTTGAAATATATTATCATACTCTTCCTTGCAGAACTATGTCAGCAGTTTTTTTCAGTTCTAAGTACTCTTATAAATCATAGACAGTATCTCATATTTAGTAGAAACGTTTTATTCCTTTGCAGAAAAACAAATGAAATGAATGACTTGGTACAGTTGATGACGCAAACACTGAAAATTGGTAGTAAGGAAAATTGTTCACATTCTGCAATATCGGCTCCTGAGTCACAGTTCAGACTGAATAGGAAATACAGAGATACTCTGATCTTACATGGGAAGGCATCAGAAGAAGCAGAAGAATTCCCATTTCAGGAATTTCCTTCAGGTCTGTATAATTGAAAATAATGATGCTCAAATTAAGTCTCTTTACTATATTGTTAAATGTTAGGAATTAACATTTAATTAAGCCTGTTAAAATGTGTTCTGCTTTATACTCATGTGCCGTCAAATCAATTCTGACTTACGGCAATGCTCTTCAGGGTTTCCCAGGTAGAGAATACTCAGACATGGTTTACCATCCCCTTCTTCTGATTTTTCTTTTCTGCTTTAAGGAAGGGGGAGGGGAACCACCAGCCTGGGGGAGCTCATCTCCTGCCTTTCAAAGACAAAGACTGTTGTGTCTGTTTTAAAGGCAAAAATCTATACCATTAGCAGCAAGACAATTCCCAACCTCATTACATGCAAACACAATGTTGATTCTATGTTGAAGTAAATAATTGCCTCCAGAAGGCTACATGAATCTGAAATGGAAAATGTTTCACTACTCTCCCTTAATTTATCTTATTTACATAGTAGGAAGTCTAAACATGGAGTTTAACAAGGTACCAAATGATTTTGCTTATTGTTTTAGATGTTCCATCTGGTCCTGAAAAGATCAGAAGATTGGTTGAAATTTTAAGAGCAGATGTAGTTCAAGGACTTGGAGTGAAACTGCTAGAGAAAGTGTATGAGGTGTTGGAGGAAGATGATGAAGACAAAAGAGAGGTATGTTTTGTATACATCAAACTGGTAGCTTCTTCCTTGTCAGTGCTTTTGTAATGGATGAAAGAGCAGTTTGGGGTTTAGTACAATAAGTGGTCTAGCCTTCAAAGCAGGGAGTAACATTCCTGTTTCCTTGTTCACTCCCAACATACTAATTGAGAAAACAGCTATACTCCAGAATGTTTAATTAGCTGACTCTTCACCCAGAAAATTTTACTCACAGTGAATTCCCACTGCAATATGGAACAAATGACTAACTTGTGTCCTGTAGTCCAGTGCAAATTATGCTGCAGCTAATATTTTTTGGATCAGGGCTTTATTGTGTGCAACATATTTTGATTCTAAAATGTAATTCATTTGCATTTTAAATAACAGTGATTAAAAATCAGATAACCCATTGTTTATAACTTTTAACCCCAGCAAAACTGGTGAGCTTGAGCACTCAGAACTTTGAATCTAGTGGCCGTAGTCGCTGATTACTAATGCACTTGGGGTCCATTTTTAAAAAAATAAATAAGCCAAAGCCAACTTTGGAATGCTCTTCTTATGCTGTTCAGAATCAGATGTACTTAATTAACTCCATGTAGGAGATGGTAGAGGATTAATTCTATATAGTTGCAGGCTAAGGCCAACATCCAGTGTTGCATGAGCAGAACAGATATTATTGCTCCTCTGTTCCTCCCTGCAGTTTCCCTTCTTTCGCACAGATGCACTCAGGAGCCAAAATCCTAGTGTGTATTCAGCCAGGGTGGGAGGGGAAATTTTGGATTTCATCCAAAGTCCCCTCTTAATTTTCAGGCCCACTGGGTGGGACTCGGCCCTTTCACACGCAACTCTGCCCCCCTTCGCAGGGTTCTGTTCCAACTAGAACCGAAGGTAATGGAATCACTTGTGCTTGTGTGGTTTATGGGGGGAAAGCTGTGTGGAGGGGAGCAGAGTCATGCGTGCTTGTGCAGCTGTGCACTTTAGAGGGAACCTTGATTTCATCCTAACCTTTTCACACTAAAATCATTCATGTTTTCAAGTACAAGGCATCTAAAGTTCAAAAATATTTCTTAACAGCTGTATCTGCGGAAACTCATGGGAGAAAAGTACATATCTTACAGCACGAAGGCCCGGCATTTAAAGTTCTTAGAAGACAATGTGAAGCTTTGACATGATACCCAAGTCAACTCCCTTCTTCCAGAAGAACAGAGCAAAACGTTATGCAATTGCTTGCTGGATCTTAATTTTACTATACTCATTGATTTATGGAGTAGAATTTTTGCTCTATTTTTAAAAAAATTGTTGTAGAGTGTATTGTTACATTTTTACTGTTCTTCATAAATGTAAGGATTTGTTGTTTTTTAAATACAAGTAATAGCACTTCTAGAAATGTGGGTTTTTAAAAAATCTTTTGAATTCCTTGTTTTTATATTTAAAGTGTCTTTGATCATACAACTGCAATCCCGACCAGACTTATAATCAGATAATTCTATCTTGCATATTGGTAATAGAATGAGGAATTGCAGCCTCAGTATACGGCTACTAAAAATAAAAAAGGAACTGGTAGGATCCAATTATGAGAGTCTCAAGATGTATAAACATTGAATGTTTATTACATCTTAAAACCTGCCCAGTGCTTGAATCATTTATGGTCTTCTTCAGGAGCTATGCATATAAAGGCAACAAAGAGAGACAACACATTAAATGGGCATTGTGATAATCACATTCAAATCCTGCATCTCGTTTTTCCTATTACCATTTAGATGGTTGTATGTAAAAATGGCAAAATGAGGTACAGGATTTGAATGTTGATTATCACAATTGTCCGGTTAAAGTGTTGTCCCTCCTTGTTTCTTTGCATAAGTTCTGAAGAAGTGTATGAATTGTTTTGGTAGGTTTGAAATTTTAATAAAGCTATATCCTGAGATTTTGCTACTGAAAATAGTCTAATCCCCAATATCCATACTGAAGTTGTATTAGGAGAGAAATATTTTTTTAAAATCAGCCAGCACCGAAGTGCATCCTATAATTCAGGATTTATTGCTATGATTCAAACAACCGAGTTAAGAATGAATTCTTTTCATGTAGGTTTTAAAAATAACTGGCCAAAATCCTGTTGCTTAGTGTATCAATAGGAGTTGGTGAATTACCACCTCCATAAGTTACATTGATTCAAATGGACCTACTCTACTGCAGTTGAGTTTGCTAAGCAACAGGATTTTGACCACTATGTACAATTTGTCACCATAACATTCAGTTTAAAGCTAATTCATATATCTGGAAGACTTCTAACCACTCATGCACTTTCAGCCAAAGCATATTTTTAGAAGTAAGGAATGTGTCCTTTTGACTGGTTTTAATGCTTGGTTACTATGAAGGGGTCTTTTCAATTAAATTTTTAAGTGATGTGGCAAGGAATAACAGATCTGATGTACAGAGCACATGGTTTCTAACTGAATGCTGTTTTTCCACACTGTCTGTGATGTAATATTAGTCCAGTTTGGGTCAGTGTAAGAATATGCACATTGTGGACTTCTTAGAGTTCAAGTAGAATGAACAGTTGCTAAACTGCTAGAAAACTATGTAGCAAGTTCTATCTACTTGATGCACAGTCCTACTTGTTTCTTCCCATGCTAGCTTGAATTGTTTTCAAAATGAGAGGGAAAAAACTATTCTCTTGGACCAACATGACAAAATGTCTTTTACTCCCTGGTACTTTGAATGGGATGAATCCAGTATTTTGTGCTTCTGTTGCTGTCACCAGCATCCCTGCTCAAAGTTCCTGCTGCTATAAAGATGGAGGAAACACTTTTCATTTACATCACCTTCTCCCTTGTCTGAGGAAGTAGACTTGTCCACAAAAGCTCACATTAACATAAAGCACTTCATTTTTAAGGTGCCACAATGTTTTTGTCCTTTCCATTTTTTCTTTTGTTTTTGCCTGATATGGTAGCATGGACTAACATGGATACCTCTTCTAAAACTACTTTTGTAGAAAAAGCTCAGTGATAAATTAACAAGGCAGAACTGGTAGCACAAACATCCTGGTTTTAGTAGCCTTATATAATGTGATAAAGGTTTATTGTTATTTCTGGTTTCAGGTGAATTAACTCAACTGCTTGATTTGAGTGGTTCCACACTGAGTTTCTGTTTGGGTCTATATTTGTAGCTGAGCACTTTCAGGACAGTTAGCATGTCCTATCCAATTGATTTCTGGAAACTGCTGTTTCTGATGCCAAATTTATGTTCAATTCTTGCCTTTGACCTCACGTTACCATTTCCCACCTGAACCATGTATATACACATCTGGAACTCAGCATTAACAATGTGTGTATCTGATGAAGTGGCTTATAGCACATGAAACTTTTAAAGGCATTTAAGGACATGGTTTTTCTGGAATGGACAAACACAGCTGGCCTTCTAGAAATGCAAAAGGTATTCCTAATATTGAAAACAGCTTTCAGCAAAGGTCCAGAATTATCACAGGATTTTGTAATGGCTTCAGACACAATTATCCTTGACTACAGATAAGGCAGCAAATGATGATTGCTGTGCTGAAAATCTTCCTTGGACACCTGGGAGACAACTAGTAGACAGAAAGAACCTGGACTACAATATTATAACTTGAGCAACATTCCTACGAAAAGAAACTGCTTTAGTTAAATAGCAGTAAAAATCAGATAAGTGCCACCTGTGCTTCAAACCATTACAACACTGTTAATAGTGTGCAGGGCCAAATTTGGAATACAGTGGTGCCTCGCTTAACGATGTTAATTGGATCCCAAAAAAACATCGCTATGGGAAAACATCGCTAAGCGAAACACCATTTCCCATAGGAATGCATTGAAAACCGGTCAATCCGTTCCAATGGGAACGGATTACTATCCTTAAGCGAAAATCACCATAGGAAACATCGCTAAGCAATACAATGTTTCCCCCATTGGAATGCATTGAAGCCTATTCAATGCATTCCAATGGTTTTGCGATGTCCGTTTTCACTATTTTTAAAGTGACTTACAATGTTCAAAAACGGTTTTAAATTCTTGTGATCGTTAGTGCACCTTGCAAAATCCGTGCAAACTTAATTTGGCTTTGTTCTGAGTCTTAAAATTGCAAAAACGGACATCGTTAAGCGAAACAGAGGGACCTAAACTGTCATTGCTAAGCGAGGCAAGTTCCCGAACATCACTATGCGAAATTTCCCCATAGGAAACATCGCTAAACGGAGCACAAAATCGCTTAAAAAAAAACATGGCTAAGCGAATACATCGTTAAACGAGGCAATCGCTAAGCGAAGCACCACTGTACTGTAAGATGCCCATCAACAGTTACCAAGTAAAAACAGAAGCAATAGATTTCTGAGCAGATTTAATGACAGAAAATGATGCAACAAAAACAAGTCTTCAGTTTTTAGGATGCCTTTTTACTTTTCTGTCTGCTGGCTTCTTGTCATCTGTTGTTGATTCCTGGACAGGTAGCCACTTCAGAGGATTGCGGCGGTATATAGGCCAGGGTGGAAGTGTGAGCTATAACGAGATAAATTTTAGGAAAATTCAGAATTGTAATAGAACTCCCAAAAGTAGAAGCTGGATTTCGAAGGGGCAGAGGAACTAGAGACCAAATTGCTAACATGCGCTGGATTATGGAGAAAGCCAGAGTGTTCCAGAAAAATATCTACTTCTGCTTCATTGACTATGCAAAAGCCTTTGACTGTGTGGACCACAGCAAATTATGGCAAGTCCTTAAAGAAATGGGAGTGCCTGACCACCTTATCTATCTCCTGAGAAACCTATATGTGGGGCAGGAAGCAACAGTTAGAACTGGATATGGAACAACTGATTGGTTCAAAACTGGGAAAGGGGTACGACAAGGCTGTATATTGTCCCCCAGCTGATTTAACTTATATGCAGAATGCATCATACGGAAGGCTGGACTGGAGGAACCCCAAACCGGAATTAAGATTGCCAGAAGAAATATCACAACCTTCGATATGCAGATGATACCACTGATGGCAGAAAGTGAGGAGGAATTAAGGAACCTTGTAAGGAGGGTGAAAGAGGAGAGTGGAAAAATGGTCTGAAGCTCAACATCAAAAAAACTAAGATCATGGCCACTGGTCCCATCACTTCCTGGCAAACAGAAGGGGAAGATATGGAGGCAGTGACAGATTTTACTTTCTTGGGCTCCATGATCACTGCAGATGGGAACAGCAGCCACGAAATTAAAAAACTGCATGCTTTTTGGGAGGAAAGTGATGACAAACCTAGACAGCATCTTAAAAAGCAGAGACATCACCTTGCCGACAAAGGTTTGCATAGTCAAACCTATGTTTTTTTTTTTCAGTAGCGATGTCTGCAAGTGAGAGCTGGACCATAAAGAAGGCTGACTGCTGAAGAACTGATGCTTTTGAATTGTGGTTCAAGCTGAACAGACAGTTTTGCATTTGTTACCAAAAGCAGTGCTGGGGCCAGTTAGGCCTCCAAGGGAATGGTTACTCTACTACAGAGTTTCCATAACTGAGAAAATCCTCTGCTGTATCTCTTCTTAATGAACTGTTCTCAATGGGTGGGACACAGAGGTGGGTCCCACCAGGAGATCTTAATGATGAGGCAGGCAGTGAGGAAAATTCTCCAATTCTCAAGCTATTTATGATTCTGAAAGTCATTGTCAACACTGAATTCAGAAGGAAATTTACTGGCAGCCAGTGTAATTCTTTAGAACTGTTATCAATCAGATTCTGAAATGAGTTTCTGTTAGCAGTCTAGGCCCAAAGAATCCTGTATTGCAGTGGTCTAAATAGGAGGTTATAGTGCCTGAACTACTGGGACAAGATTGTACTTGTCTAGGCTGGCCACAGATGCCCCCAGGTAATTAAAATTAGTCAATTTCCTCAGTGGCAATGGGCGTTCCAACAACCACTACATCTGCTTCTTCAGGACAAGCACATCCAGAATAGACTACGTACCCAATCCCTGGAACTACTGAATTGAAAATATTCTATCTCGTTAGGATTTAACTTTGTTTACTGGCCCTCATCCAGCCTATTACAGTGTCTAGACACTAGTCCATCACCTACATATTCTCGCTATAATCCAATGACCAAAAAAAAGTTGGATATGATCAGTATATGGGTAGCTTCCAACTACAAAACACTTCACCCAGCAGCTGATGGATGTTAAAAAACATTGGGGGGGGATAGGACTTGGGGGAACTCTGAGACTCCCCAATGCAACTCTCTGTAATCTGTCCTGCAGAGTAGAAGTGAAATCCAGTAAGATATGTACATTATATAAAATAGGCCTTTTGCAGATATAATTTTCTCAAAAAGGTAATATCCTTACCAAGCATGATAAAGCAAATCCAGCCATTACTATGTAAACTGTCCAGCCGAACTGTTCAGTGATGTACCCGTAAATAAATCCAATTACCTACAACAATTAAAACATGTCAAAAACAATTCTAGATTACTGCTCAGATCCAATGTGACAGAATTTTAAGGAATGTGGCATCCATCATTAATTCATTTAAATTAGGATTAAATTAAAATAATAGTATCAACCTCTTACCCATCATTCATTTGCACTTTTATCTACATGGCTCAAAATACATTGTGATATTATCAAAGAACGATGGATCCAGATTGTTCTTTTTGAGAATTGAAGGTTCTATTTCACACACAGAAGGATAAAAATCCCTTAATGACCTCTGCTGGGGGTCTTTTTCCCCATCTGTTCTCCCTTTGCCACTTTCAACACTCTTTCCAAACTTGAGCTTCAGCATTTTTCCAGAGTGCTGCAAGAAGAGGAATCTTCAAGTCACTTTTTCTCACTTCTTCCAGCAAGAACATTCTGCAATTGGCACTTCAATCATAGAATGCAACACAAAAAACTAACATAAAAATTAAACAAATGGAAAACATGCTTCCTTTTTACTGGTGTCATGGATCTAGTGTAACTTTTGAAAAAAGATACAAATCTGCATTTTTGGAGTTGTCTTAATCTGATTTTAAATTTCTACGGCTATACTCCTAAGCACACTTACGTGAGCAAGTTCTGATCATGATGAAATTTATCTCTCTGCAAACACACACAGGGTTCCATGTTATTAACTTGACCACACTTTGTTAAGATTCAAGGAAAAATTCTGAGGGCATAACCCCCTCTGCACACAACTGCATTGCTTATACTTCACTTTCTACATTTGCAAATAGCATCTCCGTTTCATTATACTTACAGCAGAGAAAAGGATGATTCCTTGAAAGATCTGCTCTGCTAGTTTTTGGCCTTTATAGTCCTGTGGAAAAACCAGAGATTTAACAGCACTGCCATTTCTCACAGAAGTATCAATTCTTGTAAATTTGGGAATAGCAGCATTTAGATGATATGCAATTTTGATAATGCAGCAGATGATATGCAATTTTCATAATGCAGCAGAACTGAGGAATACTGTAATGTCAAGCCAAAAGCAAAGGACTCAAATTCAGAGATTCCAATTAGTATGGGAACTACTGACACTGCTGCCATTCTGCCTGCCCTTGTCTACACTCTAGCACACAAACACAGCTAGCTGTATTTATGAGGCAGTGATGGAGGTAGAGATAAACTCAGCTCACCACTGGTTTATCTGTAACATCCTTAGGGGCAGCTACGATGAGGCTGTTCCTTCATAAAGGTGCATGCTTTACAGCAGTGGGTCCCAACCTTTTTGACACCAGGGACTGGTTTATTTGAAGACCATTCTCCCAAGGACCAGAGGTGGGGTGGGGTGCCGTCTGTCCATCCGTGCATGCAGGGCACAGAGGTGGGGTGGGGTGCCGTCTGTCCATCCGTCCGTGCATGCAGGGCACAGGCATGTGTGCATGCATGCAGGTGGTGTGTGTGCCTGTGTGGGGGGCAGGCAGTGTGTGTGTGTGTGCATGCGGGTGCGGGCAGACGTCCATGCATGTGGGGGAAGGGAGGTGTGTGCATGCACGTGCAGGCAAGCAGGAGTGTGTGCATGCTATGCACACATTCCTTCGGCCCTTGGAAATCTGTCTCGGTGGCCCGGTCTGCGGCCCACGGGTTGGGGACCCCTGCCTTACAATTCTCTACAGTAATTTGTCAAATGAATTTGTGTAGCAAACAGCAGAGATGGGAGTATAAAGAACCTATATAAACTGGTTCTGCTAGAACTGCTTTAGCTGTCTTTTAACAACTGTATAATTCTACAGCCTATTTACAGTCACATTTTCATGGACCTGAAGCAATTGAAGAATTGCTTTAATGTCCAAAGAACTATTAGCAACACTCCTATAAGTTTTATATATGAAAAAGATGTGGCCGCTTCCAAAAAGTTTCCAAGGATGAGTAATATTAAAACAGAGGCTTTGTATAAAACAGATCCATCACCATAATGAGTAACGTATCCACAGTATGTTTGTAGCTATCTTTAACATGGGGTAATCTTCAGCACCCTTGCAATTCTTAACTGGAGCTTCCCTAATATTTTAGATTTCACATATTTTAGACTTCAACTGTCATCAGTCCTTGCCTGTGTGACCAACTATCAGGAATATTGGTAATTATAGTCCAAAACATATCAAGTGTATCCTACTCTATTTCTTTTTCATTTAATTTGCAAAATGACAAAACATTTTGCTATATTTAATTTACATTTAGAAATTAAAAACTTGTGGCCATGCCAAGATTGTTGCCAAAACACTGCCAGTATAATTACCAAAGCAAATGATCTGTGACTAGAACATAAAACATCACCGAAGATGTAATGAGCAGATTGCCACTATACAACTGGACTGGAAGTGATTAGATGTCAACTTGAAAATGGTACCCTGCATTTGTTACAACAATTAATAGCAAGATTTCTAGCTGCACTTAAAGACATTACATTAATTTGCATTACAAATAATAAGCAAAAAAAATACACAGCTGGGTTGGAAAAATATTAGCTACACCATGTTTCAATGAGTTTCAATGGTTTTAAACAATGAGTTTAAAACCAAATAACTGTAAAAAGGGAATGAGCAGGATTAAAGAAAGTGTCCTTCATGGACCCAACATGCCCCCAGAAGAAGGGAATGGTAAACCACTTCTGAGTAGTCTCTACCTAGAGAACCTCAGAAAAGGGTCACCATTAGTCAGAATTGACTTAATGGCACCTTATTATTATTAAGGATGCACACCAAGGTGTAAAGAAGCCTCTGAATTTTGTCTCATTGCTGAAATGCACAGAAATCTTTGGTTTTCCTTGAAGTGCTTCTTTAGCCTATAAAAGCCTATTTGGATTGAAACTGGACACTGGAAAGAACCTGTCTTGTTTCTACTCACTTGAGCCCTAAAATTTTAAACAGAAGCAATTCTCCAAGCTTTTTTAAATTATATGTTAACATTCATGAAACATTTAAAGATCCTTCCTAAATACTATTATTTTCATATTATCCAGGTTGACACTATTGATTACAGCTGACTGATGGTGGTTGGTTGGTTTTAGCTTTCTGAAGTGTATCCTGCTCTGTGTTAGATCATTTCCTTCTGTTCCCCTTATTTCCTTTTTGTCTTCCAGCTGTGGGTTTTAATGTTAAATTTGACTGACGTATGTTTTCAATCCTTCCCTTATACGCTGCCTGCAAACGAACACCCATCAAATCTTTTAATTAGAAGGGAATTTCCACCGAAATAGAAAGGGTGTTCTTTTGAAGAGACATGAACAAGAGCTGGCCTTTAGACTTCCCAGATCCATAGCAGAAGAGTTAAAGATTACGCAGCAAAAGTACGGATGATTATGTTTTACTCCTAAAGCTTTGGCTGAGCAAAAAAAGGCTGGCTTTCCGAAGTCCCACCTGGGCCCTGGCATCGGATCCTCCCGCCTCCCCTGCTTAGGACACGTCTGCTTAGCCACAGCAGGCAAGCACCCACTTCTTGGACGCCTCGATACTTCCTGCGCGACCTGAAGAGCCAAAGGAGGGGAGGAGGAGGAGGAGGAGGGCTTGGCTTTCCGATCTGCCGGAGGACGAGGAGCTGGAGCGTTAGAGGCCTTTTTCTCCTCCGGGGGGGGGTCAACATCATCCCAGCCCCTTCCACACAGGGCGCTCCCCGCCTCCCGATCTCGCCCGGGCTTACCATTTGCGTGGGGATCGAGCGGAAGATGCCCAGCATGGTGCCTGCCTGACCGGCCGAGCCTTGAGCTCCGGGCTCACCGTCAGCGCGGGCCGGGAGAAGACGCGGGGCGGGTCCTGAGGGGTCCCTGAGCGCGGGTTGCAAAGAGGCGTCCGGGGAGGGACGGGCCGCCGCCGCCGCCCTGCCGCCGGCAGCCGCAGCCTTCCTCTCAGGCAGCTGAAGCGAGTCGCCCTGCGAACTGGCGTCCGAGGCGGAAGCTCGGAGCGCGGCTGCTCCTCCTCCTGACTCGCTCGCCGAGGCCTTTTGGCGCCTTAAGGCGGGCGAGGCCGGGTTCACAGGAAGCGACGTTATCTTGCTTTGCCTCATCGCTCTTGAACTTCCGGGGGCGGCTCGACTGGGAAACGTGGAGCGTTACCGGAGCTTTCTCCTTGATCCGAGACCGTCCCGCCAATCCACTCCCCTTTTGCCCCTCGCCCAGTGGCCGCCCGCTAGGACGTCCCGGCGGCCTGGGCAGCGCTCGGCTGCGTTTCCATGACAACAAGTCTAACACAACCGCCAAGGCCTACCTCCGCCTTCTGGGAGCGTGAAGGGGCCCTTAGGAAAGAAGAGAGGCTGGCTAGTTGCCTGCCAGTGGTTTTTGGTTACGACCGCTGTCGCAGTTGGCGTTGCAACCGTGCAAAATCACTTCAGGTTAATGGGCTGTGTCATGCGTGGTGCGCTTACTTACGCTTTTTTTTTTAAAAAAATATTTTTTCCCGATCAGGCACTACGAAAGACACCTCATTGGAATTCCAGCTGCTGACAACTTGCTGCTGTTGTCGAGTTGGCATCTCGCTCGTGCCTGCCAGAGACTGCGAAGGCTTTAAAGGAGGAGAATATAAGGAGAGCTCTCTTGGCTGGGCAAGCAAGTGAGATTTCCACGAAATCAGCAGAAGGAATTTACATGCAGTTGCCGTGGCTGCTCATCACACCACCACCACCACCTCCGTGTGCGAATCTGTTTTAAAAAGAGGTATTGTGCATAAGAAGCATCATGACTTGTCGTGATTGTTTGAACTGCTTTTCCACACAGGGATCGCCTCCATTCAGTGGGTCAGGTTTTCTAGTAACTAAAGTAGACAAAACATTCTGTGCAACGAACTCCCTAGGGCAGTTGCTTTCCCACTTTCAGTACTTTGCTCCGCCAAGGGTGTATGGAGTTTGTGAGGGGAGTAAAGAAAATCAGTGAGAGAAAAACAGAAGGGTAGAATTACAGAAAGTTAAAAAAATATTGCACAACATTACCCACCCACCCCAGGCCCCGCTGCCCATGTTAGTTTGTTGCAGCAAAAACAGCAATTTTGTGGTACCACAGATCTCTGTTGTGTGCAATTAAATATCATAGTTTGGGGCTAAAAATGAATTGTCTGTTGGAAGGGTTGATGGTCAGTTGTGAATTAAACTGAACTGAGGTGAAATACAGCACAGCCCTGCTGAACGTTAATGTACCTGCTGAGAAACTGAATCTACTTCACTTATTACCTGTGGTGGCTTGGTGGTAATTCTCCTATTGGGAATGTTTCTTGAAATATGAATGAGATTTGTCACTGGGACATTTATTTCTAATTTATTTTATAAAGTATCATTGGATCAAAAGCATAGACTTAGTTGCAGTTAGTAGCTGTTCAAAAATTTCACTTAAAACTAATAGCGTTGCCCCCAGATTTTTAAATGTTTATATACAGGCATATCTGTTAATTACCTGAGCACTACTGATATACTAAATTTTCATTCCAAGTGCAATCAGAGTGTCAAATGTTATATATTTTATAATTCTATATTTCATTGCTTAGCTATATATTATGGTTGTATGACTTAGGTCACTGAAGAAGTTGGTCCCAGGATTCTTCTACCAGCTTGTATCTCTTTGGTACACAGAGTAAGAAAGGCAAAAATATACATCAC